ATATTGAGCAAGGTTCTGAGGTAGCTGAATTGATTCTCAATGCTTCACTTATTATCTGGGATGAGGCACCGATGGCTCATAAACACAACATAGAGGCCCTAGATAGGACATTGAGGGATATTTTCCGAGTTAAGCATGTTGATTCTGAGTTGAAGCCTTTTGGAGGTATGACTATTGTGTTTGGAGGTGATTTCCGACAGACGTTACCTATCATCACGAAGGGTACACGGACTGAAATTGTTAATTCTTCCATAAAGAGATCTTATTTGTGGCGGTCTATGACAGTATTGAAGCTAACCGAGAACATGCGATTAAAATGGCCTCATTCTGAAGCATCGGCCAGGTTAGCAATCTCAAATTTTAGCAAATGGCTTTTGGAAATTGGTGATGGTACAAATAGTAATATTTTTGGAGAATCAATTATCCCGATACCTCTACACATTTGTGTTCCCCGTCGCAGTGATCCAATTCCTGATATTGTTGCTGAAATATATGGTCAGTTACTCTCCACTGAAAATATGTCAACCTATTTGGTTGAGCGAGCTATCTTAGCCCCTCATAATGACACTGTTGCGGCCATTAACAATTATGTATTGGGTCTATTTCCTGGTGAAGAAGTTTCTTATTTTAGTTCGGATTCGCTAGAGATTGATGCCAAGAATCAGCATGTTGAAGAAGGGGACTACACAGTTGAATTCTTGAACTCTTTAAAGATTGGGAATTTTCCGCAACATGAGTTGAAATTGAAGTTAGGGTGCCCTGTTATTCTGCTTCGAAATCTGGATCAGAGTACTGGGCTTTGCAATGGAACTCGGATGATCGTTAAGAGATTAGGTAAGTGGTTTATTGAGGTCCAAATTTTGACCGGGACACATGTTGGTGATACAGTTTTCTTACCACGCCTAAGTCTATCGGTCCATTACAAGAGCTTAAATTTCACTCTGGTTCGAAGGCAATATCCAATTGCACTGTCATATGCAATGACAATTAACAAGAGTCAAGGTCAAACATTAAATCACGTTGGCATCTGCTTGCAAAGACAAGTATTTTCTCATGGACAGTTGTATGTTGCTATGTCTCGAGTTACGTCGGAAAGGGGACTCAAGATTCTTAGCTGTGACTCTCAAGGTAAACCGGTGAAGACTATGCAGAACATTGTGTTCACTGAGATTTTTGAGTAGTGGTTTATTGATGTATTATGTTTTATTCGATTTGAGGACTAAGACTGTCAAATTTATCGGGTCGTTACAATTTGAATCTTGAGTTCTCAATTTGTCCAAATTATTTTCCTGTTTTTAACAGCCAATTATATGAAATGTGATTTATGCACACTACTTTATATTTAATTGTACCTCAATTTACTCTACCGAAGGGTATGCGAGTGTGACCGTTATATTGCAATACGAAGAAGAACTTCCATAGTCGCAACTGAACTAAACTAAATTAACACCACAACCCAGCCCACAAAACAACCCAAGCATGGTTCAGTTAAATAAAATATAGTTAGAGAGAGAATGCCCAGCCGGATTTGTTGAAACTAAATGGCCAACCTATTCCCATAAAAAAAAAAGGCCAACCTACACTACCTTGGGCGGATCCTTCTCTACTCCCCCACCTCCTCTACTGCCCAGTATCCGATTTTTTTGGATCTTCTATGAGGTGAAGGCTGCCGCATTCCAAGCCATTATTTCTTTATTAAATACATTCATTATGATTTTCATTTCATGTTAATTAGTGGTGGTGTGGGCCGGGCCGGCCGGGTTGGCGCATCAAATAATAATTAGCAACTTTGAGAGGCAATTTTGGATAAGAATTGTTGACACAGTCGCAATTAGCAATGTTGTTAAAACGGAACCGGACATCGATCCGGATTAGTAAAGGGTTCAAGGTTTATCAAATAACCGGTGGTTAATCGATATTAAAAACCGATCATAAACCGGTGTTGACTTACTTGGTAGACTTAACAATTATTTTTTTTACAATTATTGTTTCACTTATTAGAGATAAAAGAATAAAGTGAGAATTATTAAAACTGAAAAAGCATAATTTGGGCGGCTGCTAGGTCTTTTTTGGGAAAAGTGAACTGATTTTTCTTCTCTTTATATTTTATTCTGTACTTACCTTCTTTTGTTTTTGAATTTTTAATTGCAACAAAATAAAAGGAAGGCGCATGTTTGATTTTAAGAAGGTGGGTCGTTCCCCTCAAAAAAAAAAAAAGAAGGTGGGTCGTGAGTTCCGTGACACACCCGCCTCTTGAACTCTAAATGGCCAACCTTCTCCACTCCCCCACGAGGCCACAAATCCTTCTCCACTCCCCCACTATCCTACTTTCCACACACACACGTACTCCACTGCATGCGGCCAAGTAAATCACGTGTGTAGAATCACTTTCTCTCCTTTATATAATGGAGATACCACTTTCTCTCATGTTACAATTTCCGTTTACTACTTCCCATACAAAACACTTTGGTTCCATTGACCGTGCGAATTGCATTCAATATGGCGGGCCTGCCTCAATTCAATCAGTAAGTACTGCTCATGCATCCAACAAATACTACATCATGTAATTTCGATTCTTTTTCACTACTTAATGCCAAAACTTACAGTCCAATATATAGGCTTCCCCATGGTTTTATTGCTAATCTGCAATATGATGATGCTCTTGAAATTTGTGAGCGTGCCGACACCATCGATCTCATTATGTTGCAAGTGGATGTCGAAAATCAGGTAACTAAACAAATAAATTTATTTTTAATCGTACGCCTTTTGTGGCATGCTGCATTTTATCGATTTGCTTTGACAATATTCGTTTCTGTGTTTACATCAGGGCACCTCTTTTTTGTTATCCGGACGTGTAACGAATTTGACGACGTCCTGGTCCCCTGCATCCAGAATCCATTTCGTCCACCTCACAATTGAGGACGAATTCATTGGTGTTGACATCGTCTTCCCGTCATCACAGTTACGAACGATTGTTGAATCTGTATTCAGTCATGCAAATGTTGTCAATGCTGACTATATGGCCCTTCTGAACATGCTTGGAGAACAGACATTTGAAGTCATGGTCACAGTCGGTCCCTGGAACGATGCATTTGGTTATTGTGAACTTGTGTTGGTGAAATTATTTTTGCCTTTGTTGAATTGAGTACCATGTCATGAACAATGAGACAATGTATTAAGTTTTCTTATTTTGGACTTGCATGTTATTTGTCGTAATACTCAACTAGATTAGATTTGTGATTAGTAAAATTTCATTTAAGTATTTTTTATTGTGATTAGCTAATCTTCAAATGTATTTCTAACTTATTATGAATGTTCATTCATATTACATGTTCGTCTTCAACGAATTGCAAAATTGCAACAATCTTATGATAATATAAAACAAGACTCATTTCTCGACACTATCATTATAGATATTGTAAATCCATTTCCTTAAACAAATGCGGCCAACGGGCCGGGCTATAGGCTAGTCTATTTTTACCGTGACAAATCTACTGTCCAATCTATTTTTACCGCGACAAATTAGTATATATAAATAAAGCGCCTAATTGCTTAAGGGGTCCAGTAGCATGAGGGCGGGTGCACCATAGCTTCCCTACACCCGCTTTCCCTCATCACCCATCCTAGATTTTCGTTAGGTATCTTCTCTCCGGCAATCGCCTAGCGGCTAGACAAGTACAGAGCACTTCCCTCCGACGATAAACGGGCAAGCCTAATCGACGTTAGAAACTTTTCACTTGCTAGCCCAATGGGTTGCGGTAGGGATCACCGCAAGCCCCCGTGTGCCCTCTTTTCCCCTCCCAGACTTTTCTTCGATCCCCTGCGGCTAGCCAAGTTGCATTTGATGACCCATCGGTTCGACTCCGTTCCCAATTATCCTGTGGTGTGATGGAATGCGGCAGGGTTCATCATAATCTCCTATGCAGAATGGATCCTCGACATCCATCTCTATCTCTGCATGTTGTGGGATAAACAAGCAGCTTTCTGTCTTTCTCTCTTCTTCTTTTTCGTTTAATTGTCGCATGGATGAGGGGCCATAAAATGAACAAGTCGATCGCCAAGGCTTCTCTCCCAAACTCCCTCAATTAGAACGTGTGTTGGGCTAGGCAGGACAGGACAGAGCAAGCACTTCTGTTAGTTGGGCAAGCATACGCTTTCAACCTATGGAGTCAATCGAAATCTACAGAAACCTCCAATCCACCATAATAAAGGAGGTAGACAAGAAGATAATTGACATGCACCACAAATCTTTTTCCCCCACCGAGAACAGAGATTGGACGAATGCAGAACCAAGCTCTCTATCACTTCTTCTCTTCATTCCCGAGTTCCATTTATCAAGAATTTACCTGCAGACACAAATTGTATTTCTCACCCACATAAGCTACTCAATAACAGAGATTGGAAAAATCCAGAACCAAGCTCTATCGCCATCACTTCTCTCCAGCTTTGCAATTGCGCTAGAAATCATCCCTGGTGCACTTAGAATTCTGGCATGCAAAGTAGACCGTAAATGGCACTCTCGAATACTGGATTACACTAAAGAACGAACCTAGAAACCTACACTTCTAGCTTATAGCAAGAATTTGGTAACAAATGAAGATGATGCTCCTCTTCGTATCTTTGGGTTATTGTGTGGGTTATTCCAAGCATGCATGCGTTACATATGGCAACAAAACGAGGGACACCTATAAACATTCACTAACCTTATGCCTTCACTTCACCAAACTTCAAACGACGATGCGTAATTGTCCGGATGTCGAGTTTGATGCCTTCACTTCACCTAAATCAATTTGGCATTTGGATGGTGTTTTCTTTTTCGTTTATGCATGACTTTTCTTTTCAACATATAAATTATTAATTCTAATTTTTTTATTTATCGATAATAAAAGTACATAAATGGTAAATGATTTTTAAACATTCTCAAGATCCTTCAAAGACACAAAGTTGTATTTGTTTCTTAAGAAAAGTTATAAAATCACATGAGAAATTACTAATTTTGACATTAAATTCAAACCGCAATAAAAAGTTAATTTAGAATAACATAATTCAATACCTCTCAATTAGATATTCGAGCTTCCCGCCGCAAAGCGCGGGCCAGTTGTCTAGTTAGGGAATTTATTGTTGCTTAGTTAATAGCTTCCTCTGCGAATCGACCTCGCGATCTTTGTCTCCCTCCCTCTGCTGCGGTTCATCAATTCGCCCTATCTCTTCCCTCCATAAATATACAGAACTTCAAATTCCCTCCTCCCAACACCAACGAAATCCTCCAACATCTGAAGAACTCAACAACCCTCCTCTCTCCGATTCACTCTCTGAACTTCCTACTCCCCACCCGCCTTATCTTCTCTGCCCCTCATTTTCAAATCGGCAGAGGAAGTAGAGAAACCCAATGGTGGCTTCCAGATTTCAAGCCGCTTCCTTGGTTGGTGCCCCTTCCTGCCCCAACGCCATTGCTTGGTCTGACGAGAACTTGATCGCAGTCGCTTCCGGCCACATTGTCACCATTCTGGTAACCGCCTTTATTTCTGCTCGCTCCTCGCTGCCCTAGTCTTTGTTTGCTCTTTCGCTGATTTAGTCTGGGTTTTTGTTTCTTCTACCCAGAATCCAGCTTCGCCTATTGAACCTCGCGGCACTATCGCGGTTCCTACCGGAAAACATTACCCAATTGGCAGAGTTGAAAAAGAAGGTACCTTTTTCTCCCCTTTTCTCCTTTCTTCCAAAATTCCCGCCAAATGGGTTCTGGTAAACGTTCCCGCCAACTGATCATTGGTCTGCAGCTTCTCGCTAATTACATTGTTGGGTGTCCCAAAGTTCGATTCCTTTACAATTTTCAACATTTACAGCTATGCTGATCAGTTACTGGGTTTTTTGCTTTTGTCCAAACGGCTTCTTTATCTGTGGTGTTTGCCGGCAGGTTTGCTCTCCGGTGACCTGTTGCCCACTGCTTTATCGCGGGACCGGAAACCCTGTGCTAGGTCAATTGCTTGGTCTTCTCTTGGAATGTCTCCTAACTATGGGTAGGTACCCCCAATTACTATACCTTTCCTTTGATGTGACTAGAATGGCTTCACAACCGTTTTGTTTTTCAGCTGTTTGCTTGCAGTTTGTACATTTGAAGGATGCGTGCGGGTCTTTCGCCCACCCTTTTGTGATTATAGCACCAACTGGGTAGAGGTATGGTTTCAGAGGTAATCCATTTTTAATGAGTTGATTTCAAGTTTTTGTATGTCATCTGAATCAGAATACCAATTCCTTTCTTGCAAATTCATTTTAGGTTGCTGATATATCAGACATGCTGTATGATCATCTTGCAAAGATGAACTTTGTGGAGATCGACATCTCTACTTCAGAAATTCCTTCTGTGAGTACTAAGGGCTTCTCTTACTGCATATTGTTATGATTTTTCTTTTTTGGCTTGGCCTGTGTGATCATTTTGTCTTGAGTAATGAAAGCTGAGTCTCATATCCATTTATGCATTTCAGAATGGAGTGTCAAAGGGAAAATCTGCTGAGGATGATTTGCCAAATTCACCAACTTGCAAGATATTCAAGCCTGTTGTATTGAAGCAATACAAGCGGAGACGAGTTACCGTTGTTACTGAGATGTAAAACTTCTTGTTCTCGACTCTTAAGCTGTTTGCTCCTATTATAGTATGCTTTTGTTGTTTGCAGTTTGCGTATCTCATATGTGTAACCTTTCAGATATAATTTGCTGAAAAGTTTGTACACATATCTCATAATAGATTGCCTCTCCTTTGTGTCGTTTCACATTGTAATGCTGCAGAAACAGCCCTGCTGATAGTTTGGAGCAACACATTTCAGAACCTAGACATGCTGAGATTACTAGCTCTAGGCCCACCCATCTCAGTATATTGGATAGCAAGACGTCGCGCAAGGTAAGCTTTCTGAAGTCAGGTGTTTTACCATATCCTTCTCCTTTTTGTCACCATTCATTATGCTTCAAGCAATATTGGCATTTCTGCTTGGGAACTAATTTGCTTATGTATACTCAGACTAAGCTCACCAAGCTGGGCAAGAATAAAATGGGAAGCTGTACATTTCCGCTTTTAACTTCAAAGGAGTATGCTGCTTGTAGTGCACTGCTTTCCTCACTTGTGGTTACATGGTCGCCATTATTGTGTTCGCCATCAAACAGAAGTTTCCCATCTTCAGATGATCCAGTCAAGAAATATTCTATTCTTGCTGTTGGAGGGAAGTCTGGTAAAATTTCATTCTGGAGAATTAGTGCACCTCAATGCTATTCAATTGAGCACAGTAAAGCCCCTACTGGTGTTATGTTTCTTGGGCTTCTTCAGGCGCATACTTCATGGGTAACTGCAGTGAGTTTGGAATTACTCATTTCAAACTCTGATCCCCAGGTTGTAATGGTTACTGGAAGTACCGATGGAAGGTGAGTTATAGGTATACCGGACACCCAAGTATAGTCCAGAATGCTACATTGAGGACTGAATTCTTTTCTCCTTTTTCATCTTCAGTGTGAAGTTGTGGGTGGGGAATGTGGAAGAACTGAGTAAGTTATCAAAAGCTAGTAAAGTAGGTCCCTTTGTCCTAGTAAAGGAGGTAGCTGTTTGCATTCCGGTTGTAACTGTTTATCTGCATTTGGATATATGTTGGCCTTCAGTACTAACATTAGCCTTCCAACAGGTTGTTCATGAGAATATTGTCCCAATTTCGGTTCTTTCAGTGGTGCTACCTGCTCAACCTGTAGATAAAATGCTTATAGCAGTTGGCAAAGGATCGGGATCTTTCGAGATTTGGACATGTGACACATCAAACTTCAAACTTGACAAAGCTGGATGTCATGATGCTCATGTCTATGCTGTAAGTACTCTAAATCTGTTCCTCTCTCTTTCCATCTCTCTCAAGTTCTCTTAATCATAACTTACGCTAGAAAGGATGCATCAGGTTACAGGTTTGTGTTGGTCTTCAGATGGACTTTCTTTGTACAGTTGTGGCCAGGTATTCATAGAAATGAACAAACTAGCAAAATTGCTCCCATTGCTTATTATATATGTCAGATTGTTAACACTCCTACACTCAACGTGTTCCAGGACAACTATTTACGTAGCTGGATCTTACGTGGGGAATGCCTCTCCGAAGTGCCCATTCTCTCGAATTTTCCTGGTCAAACCGGTTCACATGAAGTGGGTGGTTTCCTAACTTCCCTGTGTCTCCTTTTCTATCGGAATCCCATTTTTCCCTTGAGAAAAGAAGGAGCTTTCTTTTGCAGGTTCCTGATGCTTTGCTTTCATGCCTGGGCGTGGTAGCATCACCTGGAAATCTCATGGTTGCAATGGTAAGAGTATTCTCCCACGATTTATTCTCTCAATGAAGTTCTAGTCATTCCAAAACTAAAGTTACTTATTTCCAGGGCTCAAAAGGCTGTAGTTGAATTCTTTTGGATCGGTGGACAACCAGTGGAGAGCACCCCCGGCAACTCATCAATCAACTTTTACAAAGAACCATTTCCTGGATTCACCCCAAACGAATTGGCAGACTGGGAATCCAACATCCTATTGTCACTGAAGCAGTACGAAGATCCATATAAGCCTTTAGTAGTATGGGATATCTTAACAGCTCTTCTGATTTTCAAAGATTCTGTTCCCAAGTATGTCGACTATTTACTGGGTAGATGGCTATCGACAACATTCTTGGATGGTCAGCACTCAGATTATCTTCCCCTTGGCGAGGTGCTGACACTTTCCTCAAAGAGCTTCTCGGAAGTCCCATCTCGCCTCTTGCACCTTCTAAATATCATGACCAGACGAATAATTCTGTCTGAGATGAAGGCTGAGGAACTCAACTCCAGTGTCACCACTGACACTGCCAGTGTCAGACATGAGACAGTTGAGCTTGGTTTGCAAACACTGTTAGGAAGTGAGAGAGAACTTCGAGAGAGGCTTGTGGGACTCAGCTTTGCTGCTTTTTCCAGTGGGTCTCACTCGGCAGCTACAAGTTCCTCACAACCGGAATCTTGGTCTCCATTGGGAGTCATGCAGATGGAGCAATGGGTTGTATCTAATCATGCTCACGTGAGGAATCAACTCAAGGTCCTCGCGTCAGAAGTCCGGAAGCATACAAGGTAACTCCTTCCCTCCTTAAAGCTTCTTTTATATCATCAGGTGCTTGGTTTGGGTATTTGGGACAACAATATTTGCAATAGCATCCAATTGCACAAACATATAGTTTTTCGTTGACACTTTTGAGTGTATTTGAAATAACACATGTAATTTCAAATTCATCAAAATGATACAATCTCGAATATCGAAGGTAGGAAATAATTAAAAATTTCGTTTTAGAGAAGTGGATTCCGTGTCTTTTTCACCTTTTGAGTACAAATCCCTATACATATGCATTACAGTTTTTACAATTACACCGGAAATAGCATGCACTTGGGGTAAGTGTTTGCCTGCTGAATAAATGTATGCGCATTTTGCTAACTACAAACAGGATTGGCGGTGACAGTAATGCTGCAAAAGAGCAATGCATGCTTTGCACAGCCTCAATTCCTTTCGAGTCTCCGGAGCATGCAACTTGCCAAGGTGCAGAGAGCATCAAGGGAGATATGGAGAAACATGAAGTGCATAGATGTGCAGTGTCAATGCAGGTTTGCCCTGCTAGTCCTTCGTGGTTCTGCATATGTTGTCGCAGGAAGGTGCACAAGCTGGCTCCTGAATATCTGTTTAAGATGTCTAGGTTTCCTACGGATTTTAGTTCCTGGAAAGAAGCTTCTATAGCTGAGAAGTCCTCGAGACCCTTCTGCCCCTTTTGTGGGATTTTATTGCAGAGAATGTTGCCAGATTTTTTGCAGTCGGCGCAGCCAGTTTGAAGGGCATCTACTGTTGGTTGAAGAAGAGACTGTTGGAGGTGTGCCCTTCTTACTTATCGACATCAGGCATCTACTATATCGGCCAGAAAATCAGCAGCCTACCCCGCCAAATGTATTCCTCTTGAAGTTATGGTGTTCTTGCGATCGAGAGGGCCTTCTGCATGGTAAGCGGAAAAAAATTCAGATCTCATAGAACTGGCGGTTAAAAGTTGATCCTTTATTTAAGATGTTAATTGCCAGTGCTTTGTATAGGATCGATGTGATCGTTTGGATGATTTGCATTCTCAAAAGGACTGAGAAACCTGAATATTTGGATTCATTTTTGCTTGACAAACATGGTAGGAATTGCACTGCTCATCTTGCTATCTGAAATGTCCATGGCTTTCTGACATAAAATTTTTTTTTTGAATATCAGACAGCTCGACTTCCTGTATTCTGAGTAATGAGTAAAACCCTTTTTCTGTTCTACAGTAGTAGCTGGCATAAAAACTCATAATTAATCTCAGTTTGTATTTTTCTGGTTGATTGTGATATGTGTGCTTGCTTTTTTTGCTTCCATGTGGTCACCCGAAAAGTGTTATTTGGTGCAGTATTTTGTTTGTCTAGTTAAGAAGAAGAGCTCTTCATCTTTGCTGATTGTATGTGGTTGGCTTCTTGCTATTGCAAACTCGAAGTACTCTAGCTATTTGGAAAAAACATGCCTCAGTTTACATGCTTGTTTTTCTCATTTCTCTTGCCTTTTCTCTTATGATGTTTGATTAGTTGCGAAATGAGACTTGTTAATTCGAGATTCGGTCTTAGGTTGAGTTTGTTTCTTTGTGCTGCAACTTTAGGTTAAGTCTGGAAGTTAGTTCCTTTTCCCTCACAGCACATTTCCTTCTTTTTCCTTTAAGCTAAAGTTAGGGTATAAGGAATTTGGACTCTTTTGTTCCACTTTAAGTTCCAGCTCATTAACTTAAAGTAGCAATACCTATGAACATAACTCTGGAGAAACTGTGAATGTATCCCAGCTTCAACTTAAGTAGAAGGAGAAAAGGTAGAAAAGCTGCATAAGACATGCTATTTATTTGGTCATGCTCAATAAGATGTTGTGTCCTTTGTCTGGTGGTTAGATTTCATATGGAAGATTCTTTGCAAATCCAAGAGGGAACTGTGAGGTCGACGTTATCATAATGCAAGCAGATGGGAAAAAGATGGTCGACCCAAACAAACAGACGGCACTGTGCTCCCGTCTGAGAATGGAGCTTCTGAACCCTCTTCGAGTAGCGGTGGTCAGTACGGGTCCGGACACAGAGCTTCTTGTGGCAAACCCTGTTGAACTCTCTGGCAGGAGAAGGCCTCTTGTCTTCCATGATATCACCCTGGCTCTCAAGATGCTCAATGCTTGCGCCTTCTCGGTACCCACCTTTGTGAATCAAAATTGTTTTAAGTTCCATCAACACAATGGTTGTCTTGTATGCGATTTACAAGCTGTCTCTCTGAGACTCTGACGCATTTCGGTTTTGGTCCTCAGGTGAAGATTGGAAGGTACATGATCCATGATAGGGGGTGGTCAGTGTACAGGGTGCTGCTTGATGAAAGGGAGGAACGCCCAACTGTGCCAAGGATGAAGATTGAGGAAGATGTGAAGAAAGTATTGATGGGTTGGGAATAAGATTTGATCATCTACTTGTTCCAGCCACTGTATATAAAAGTTATATCTAGATTCAGTTTTTTATTTCCTTTTCCCTTGGCTCCTTAAGGTTCCTGAGTAATCTTCAGTAGAGTTGGCCAGTTGGGCGCTTTCAGGTCACATCAGTGATTCAGCCTAGCTTCTTCTCTTACTCTTCTGATAAAAGTTGTTGTCTCTCTGAGAAATTGTACTGATTGAATCACCTATTGTAGATAATACATGTATGGTTTCTCGGCTGTTGAACTACGTGTAGCGTAGAAGAGGCTACAAGAGGCTACACAGATAGCATGCGCTATTACTGCCTCTCCTCCTGAACCTCGGTTCAATTGCGAGAAGGTGTTGCGACTTATTTTACCTTTCATCATTCCTCGCTCATTCTATTCTGTGATATAGCTTTTGTTCACAGATCCTGTTGAGTCTTTGATAGCAATATCGAATCGATCGGAGATCTTAGCAAGAGCTTTCTATTGGAGTGCGGAACACTCTTAAAGCCGTTGAGGAAATTAATATAGGAGTTTGTTTGACAAAGGAGTAAAAAATGACACTTGCTAAGAAGAATAACAAAAAAGAGAACTTCGTAGCACATATTAAAGTTGCTCGCTTTTCCCATTTTGCATTCTTAGCGAATTGCGTGTGACAGTTCATGCACTGTGACCAAACAAAACGACTAACAGAATGAAATATCTATGCACAGTAATAAGCATCACATTGTCTGCGGAGCCATAGGCCATCCAGGATCCTGCTAAATGAGTTTCTTCATCTTGTAGTTGCGAAAAAACAGAAAAACACTGCACGATCTCAGTACACAGCTTGTTCTTATTTCAGACTGTCGAACAAACATCCAGCTGCGGAGAGTAACCTGGTTATGGACTGTGTAGATATGGTTTCAACTGATCGCTTCCTGAGATGGAAAGTGGAGGCCAAAAACTGATGAGCTACCACCGGAACCTTCAATTCAACGATGAGAGGTGAAAGACAATGTCACTGAAAGTTGTGTATCCTTTTTGCAGAGGCGAGAGTATTGGAAAGAAGCATTGCTATGGTCATTGGACCAACTCCCCCTGGTACAGGAGTTACTGCAGATGCAACTTTGCTGGCTTCCTCGTAGCAAACATCCCCGACCAATTTATACCCTCGAGAGCACGATGCATCCTTTTGAACATGCACCAGAACAAGAAAACAAAGTAACAATCAATGACCAATACACCCGTCAAAAGGAAGTGACAGTAGAGGGAAGTATCAAGAAAATGATCAAGAAAAGCACCGAGTATATATCGCAAACAATCATCTTATCTAACCTCAACAGCATTGATTCCAACGTCAATTACGACGGCACCAGGCTTTAACCAACTCCCTCTCACCATGTTGGACTGACCTACAGCAGAGACTACAATGTCTGCTTGTTTCACAATCTCTTCAGGATTCTTGGTCCTAGAGTGCACGATAGTTACAGTAGCATCCTCCCTCTATATCATCACAAACAGAATGCACATTTGCCATCAGCAAGGGGAAAGAACTATGGAAAAGCACAAACCCAATCCATACAAATTGAGATTGGAATCAACAAAGTTACCTGAAGTAACAGAGCAGCTGGCATGCCCACTATGTTACTCCGGCCAATCACCACTGCTCTCTTCCCACTGATCTGAACCCCCGATCTACGCAACAACTCGATGCACCCTTTCGGAGTACAAGGAACAAACAGCGGGTCTCGTCCCCGCATTGCGAGCCGGCCAATATTCAAAGGGTGGAAACCATCTACATCTTTCTCAATGCTAACAGCATTCAAGACGTTCTCTTCATTCATGTGCTGCACAGAAACATACATCATCATGATTTCCTTGTTCATTGCATTTTCCAAAGAGCTCGACTTTCCAGTGCAATGACTAGTAATACCTTTGGTAGGGGCAACTGGACAAGAATGCCATGAACTGCAGGGTCATCATTGAAAGCCGCGATGTGCTTGAGAACTTCAGCCTCGGCCGAATCCTCCTGCAGCCGCACTTCGAACGAATTGATCCCAGCAGCTTCGCAAGCTTTCTTCTTGTTCCGCACGTAAGTCGCGGAGTCCTTCCTGTCCCCGACGAGGATCACTGCAAGCCCAGGAACAGCTCCGATCGCATCCTTCATCCTCGATACTTCGGCGGCTATCTCTTCTCTGATTTGCTGGGCCACCAATTTGCCGTCTATTACCTTAGCAGAGGCCTCGGCCCCGCTGGGCTGAGGTGCTGCACGAATTCAACCACAAACAAAATGAATCAAAATCTAACGGGGCGTGTGAATTCGCAATCAGAGAACGTAGAAAAGCTTGTGGGAAAAAGGGGATGGTAGGGAAGGTGTTTGCGGGAATGCTCAAATGAAGTTTTGCTTACCATCCATAGTTTAGTGACCGAGGGATTCTCAGAAGATGAAGAGTGGAGTTCTCCTTTACCAGAACATGAACTCCAATCCCAGATTCAAGTCCAACAATGGAAGGTGGAATTGTGGAAAAGGATAACTAATTTCCAAATCTAAAGAATTTGAGATTAATTGGATAAAACTTAATTAAAATAATAATTTTTGTTTTGGGCTCTGAACTTTTAGGGCCTTTTTGGGGCTTGGCCCGTTTGTTTCAATTGAGTACAGCCCGTCAGCCTATGCAGCCGGAAGAGCCACCGGCCTGTCATCATCTATCCACAGGCCCGAGATCGGAGAGGAAGGTAATCGTTGCTCTGTGAAGCCAGCGATCGTAGATCGATTCCATGACTTACTCCGATGATGATGTCGATGAAGACGTAGAACAAACTTAGTCTAGCTACTGTGCTAGAAAGTACTGCAAATGTTGCCTATGACTTGAGAAAAAAGTGATAAACGAAAGCAAGACGACATTTTTAATAACGATTTTTAGGTGTGTGATGAAAATCTAAAGTTTGCATATCATTCATCATAGGCGTAACTTCCCTATAACAGAGCTTGGATTCTTTTTGTTTCGATACTGCTATTTTAGGGTTGAACCGTCAATATGATACCCCTTTCACTGTTTCACAAACCATGGCTTGCACTCTAATAAAACCACTGAAAATGGGACTTTTCTCAAGACAATAATTTGGGGAAAAATTGCACACATCCACACGATGGACTGGGGGCCAAAACTGAAACATGTGGTTCGCAGAATCGCAGCCACCACGTTGCTCTCTGAGCAAGCCACCGCCGTCCGCCGTTCACAATTAAGTTTGAAAAGGGCAGTTTAACAGAGTTTCACCTTCCAATCAAAACGGAGATACCCACGAATCTTCCCTCTCCTCAGTCCCTACCAAAAATCTGACCCGAATTGCTGCTCTTTCCACCACCACACACCGAGTCCGACAATCGCCTTGGAAATTTTACACGCAAAGGCTACTACTGGACCAGTGACCATCTCGCTAAATACTTCGCCCCAGATCATCAGAGAGGTACCCTCATTCTCCTCCCCTGTAATTTCCCATCTTCTCCAGCTTCCTCTGGCCTTTGTGCTTGTTCATCGGCGCCAAGTCGATTGATAGATTGGGGAGGGCGGGAAAGGGGAACAAGTGAACCAAAAGAGGGGGGGAAATGATTGCTTTGAATTCGCATTGTTTGCTGATCGATCATCAGAGCACATGTTGCTCGGCTCGTCATTTCCCGCTCGCTTACTTTTCCACGATCTCTTCTTCGTCTTCCCGCCCGACACCCGGTGTTCACAGGCGAGTTGCCTCGTCCAAATCTTCGGTCCCCTCGGCGATTCGGGCGCCGGAGATCCGGAGGCCGACGGATCGGTGCGGCACGGGAAATGGGTTGGTCTCCGAAAGTGGGAATTCGCCTTCCACGTCTGCCTTTTCCACCGCAGCTGCTGACATTACTGAGTTGGGCGTGTTTCTTGAATTGGTGCCGTCGAGGATGAGGAGGGCACTGTCCGAGCACAGAGAGATTGGGCAGTTGATTGAAGTGGTGATGGACTTGGGGAGGAACCCTCTGGCTAGGTTTCCGTCGGGAGACTGGGCTATTTCGGATGAGCCTGTGAAGCCTGAGGATCTGAAGCATGCAGTGTCAAAGGTGGGGTTCTGAGAAAAGCAATTTTCTTTCGGTTTGTTTCCGTGTTTGCAATTTCCTTGATTTGGTTTGATGGGAAAGTCTTAATATGGTTAAAAACTCGAAGGACATTGTGCTTCCTATGCCAAACCAATCCAAGCTGTGAATGAGTCTATTGATAATTGGTTGTTATGTCAGAGATCAGGTAATGAATATATTGCCTGAATATGTCTTGATGTCTGTGTTCAGGTTGGTGAGTTTTCGGATGACAACCGATCGGGAATCGACAGTTCTTTGCATCGTATAAGTGCCATCAGAAACCGTAAAATGCAAATTATAGGCCTTACATGTCGGGTGGGGAGAGCTGTTAACGGAAGTGCTGAAATAATCCGCGATTTGATTGAGGGTGGAGGTTCCATCTTGGTCATTGGTCCCCCTGGAGTTGGAAAAACCACGTTAATCAGGTAGCAATGGAATTTTCTACTTGAGTTTACTTGAGTTGATCTCGAAATGGAAGTTTCTAATGATCATATTCATATATGCAATTATGCATGCATATATGTTCAAGTAAGAGTTAATCTGCTTTTACGTTTTCACATGATGCCGGGAAGCACAGAGAAATTGCTAGAATGTTGGCAGATGATCAGGGGAAGCGCGTGATTATAGTGGATACATCCAATGAAATTGGGGGTGATGGAGATGTTCCTCATTCTGGAATAGGTCGAGCGAGGAGGATGCAGGTCCCTAATGTCCATTTGCAGCATAATGTGGGTATTGAAGTTTTAACAGCTTTGGTTGTTGCTTTTGGTTACAATGATTTCCCTAGCTGAAGTTATAGTGGCTTGGTCATCCACCTCTTCATGCAGGTTATGATTGAAGCTGTGGAAAATCATATGCCCCAGACCATCATAATTGACGAGATTGGAACGGAGCTTGAAGCCTTAGCTGCAAGCACCATTGCTCAGCGTGGTGTTCAGTTAGTTGGAACAGCTCATGGAATGACCATAGACAATATAATCAAGAATCCTTCTCTGCAACTTCTTGTGGGTGGCATAGAGGTGTGTAGAAAATGTGTTCGCTTCTTCCTGGGTTTCCATACAGGGTGAAAAGATATGCTCATCCTGAGGTTTTTTAGGCTTTTTTGGTTTTCTTGTTGACTGGAACAATTAACAATTGGATTCACTTTGGAACAGAGTGTAACTCTTGGAGATGAAGAAGCAAGGAAAAGGAAAGTTCAGAAGACAATTCTTGAGAGAAAAGGGCCTGCAACTTTTACATGTGCCGTTGAAATGATAACCCGAACTGAGTGCCGTGTCCACCATAGGTTAGATGCAACTGTTGATGCTCTACTAGCAGGTACTTTGGTACCAATCTTGGCAATTTTTCTACCAATTACAGTTTGGATCTCTACACTTTCAAGTTTGCTTTGGCTGTGATTGAACAATACCTTTGATGTGTTATAGGGAAAAATCCTCTCTTTGAAATTCGTCGGATGGAAACTCAGGAAGATGGCTCAGTGGATTCCACTCCCATTGAAGCTCAGAGCCCTGTGGAGGCTCCAGAGGTCATCCCGGTTAATGAAGATAGAGAGTATAATGGAACGCCTGATGAGGAAGACACGGATTATCTTCCATCTGAATCAAAGAGTTGGAAAAACAGTGGATCCATAATCAAGAAGATTGCACCAGTCTGTGTCTACACTTACAAGGTATACCAATCTAAGTTTCTACTCTTTTGCTATATGTGTGGTGTATACATCTTCCTGGAATCTGAAGTTGCCATGTGTCTGGGAGGGCATTGATTTGAAATTTTGAAGGGTGGTAATCAAGTTAGAAACCCGATTTCAGCACTAATTTTGCTTGTGTTGGTGGATTAGATCCTAGAAGACGATCTCTTACAAGTTGCAAAAGTTATGGGAGTTGAAGATGAGATAGATGTGACTGATGACATTGGAGCAGCTGATGCTATTTTAGTTTCCAGTTACGAAATGAAGCAGAATCCATGGATTCGTAGTATTGCTAAGTTCCATCAACTACCCATCTTTGTCATAAAGGTAGAAAGAAACATTCTTTTTTTCTACTTCACTAAAGTGATGCATTACAAGATGAAAAGTTCTTACAATAGTGAATCACATGAGATAGTATGACCTGTGATATCGTGTTCTTTGCAGTCAAATACAATGGCACAAATGGTAAAGGCTGTTCGCACAGTTCTTGGGATGGAGTCGTTGACAGGTGGTTTACCTGAGCAGCCCCTCAAGAACATGTTTGACATAGAGATCGAAGATGATGCACCAAAAAGAAAGCCCACCTTGGAAGAAATTGATGCTTTGGAGGTGCCATGTCATGCCAACCTCTCATTTTCATTATGTTCTGAATCAGTCTTTTCGGTTATGAATTGCTGGACTGAACTCAATGTTTGATTTGCTTTCTGTTGCATCTCAGGAGGTTAGACTGGCGATAGAGTACATTGTCATCCCAGGAGGAGAACCGGTGGAGCTTCTCCCCAGGCGGTCTGAAATAGTTGCCCGGCAGCTGGAGCTTGTGGAAAGCTATCAGTTGGCAGCAGAAAACTCAGGGACAGATGCCAACCCTAGACTGCAGATTCTTCCTCTAAGAACAAGCAAGAAAGCTTCTTCTTCTTCTAAGCCATTGAAATCTAGTGCGACCTCACAGAAAGAAACAGGTCTAACCAGCAGCAATGGAGGTACCAGTGTCAGCAGGCTGCCATTACTGCCGGAGTAACAGTGCTGCTGCCCACAAATTTGGGGAGCTCCATTCTCCCCAATCTCCAGCCATGTTCCAACAAGTTCATTGTAAGTTTTAACTAACCAAAATAAAATAAAAAAAGGTCTTGTACATTATTATGTAATAAGCACTGATGATAAAGCTGTTGTAACTTGTAACAATATCATCACGGCTGTAAGAATGTAATATAATTTTTTTTAATGAACTGTACAAATGTAATATAATGTTTAATATCATAATCAACTGTACAAGTTGTTGTAAAAATACCCCATATTAGTAATTCGGGTTTTTTTTTTTTTCTTTCAAGATAAGGCAAAAAGAAACCCATTACAAAATCGACGAGAACAACACGTGTTGCTCTCATTAAACATGTTGTGGAAACATCCTCGTTTATGTTCCACGGTTTCCTCCACTCACACTCAAATACGTGAAGAATATTCTTCACAAACCATATAACACATATTGACCGGCGACATTGTGGTGCCCACATAAGACTCAAATGGATCCGATTAAATTGCCCAATTGATTCGGTCTAGTCTGGTCTTTTTGAAAATATAAGGACCAAAGATTGAATTGGATACAGTCCAGTCTTGATCCGGTCTGGTTCCAATTCGGTCTTGATTATATATTGAGCTTGTGGGGATTTGAGTGGCCTAAGGCCTGAAAGGGTGAGGAGTTGGTTAAGTTTTGTACTAATTGCAAAGGTTTGTGACCGTTTATGCAAATTACCCTTAAGTTTTGGGTGTTGAGCTCTCTTATCTGTTCTTTTCTAGTTTTTTATCCGGTCCCGAACGGTTTCTACCTTAAATCTAAGTCCAAAGATTTGATTGGATTGTTTACTATCCGATCCCAGTCCGGTCTCGGTCCGGGTTATACGGTCGGGTTTCGAGTAAAACCAAAAAACCCGAACCAAATAGCCAGCCCTATCAAATACCAATATTATTCTTAGAAGAGGCAAATGAATTTGATTTGTGAATGTGATTACATGGATAGTGAATTTCAACTGTATTCCATTTTGGATAATATGTAAAAAAAAAAGAGTTAGTACTAACTTTAATAGTAAAAGAACTTCGGCTAGCTAAATTAGACATTTTGAAGCAGAGTTTTGGGGTTAATGCCACATTTGATTATTGGGATTACTAAAGGGGATTGCTATTTGTCGCCCTAAAATTTCTTATTTGTCGCCCTAATTAAAATAATTTTACTCTAATGCCCTTAGTTTATTTATTTGTAGTTTAACACAGCGTCCCCGACCAGGCACATTTCCTTCCACCGTAATATCTGCTATGCTCCCTTTCTCCCCCCGGAGTTCCGGCTCCGGCCAGAACTCAATGACTGATAATTGCCTTCGCATCGTCCAAGGACTTCCAACTTCCACGTATTCATTCTCCACATACTCGACTCATTAGATTCCATTCTTGCCTCCATTTGCATATGCATCAATCGCTCTTTACTTATCTGCACTAAAGCTCCTCCACCATTATCAGAAGTTAATTTTCTCAAATTCAGTTGGAGAGTCTTCCGTATTTCATTTCATTCTTCCACAGCTCACTATTAAGCTTTTCAAAGTCAAACCAAACGGATTAGAGGACAGCAAGAGGAAACTGGCAAAAAGCACAATCATATCGACATTCCTCATCCTAGAAAGGCCTGAAGCAAAGCAAACGAAGAAAAGAATCAGAAGGTAATTAATGAATTCAGTTTCGGTAGTCTACAGACCATCTTTTCAGAGTAGCGGAGAGATTTAATTCCTTCAAATATTCTCCCTGACGCAAGGTGAGTAAGGGAGGCGTCGGAGCAGGGGCGACGGAGCAGGCGACGAGCCGCGGCAGATTTAGATTGCGGGTGAGGAAGGGAGTAAATTTGTTTGGTTAGAGTTTAGAATTTAAATTGGGTTGAGGGTAAATATGTCAATTTTTTGCATATTAGGGCGATAAAATTTAAATTCTAGGGCGACGAATAGCAATTCAGTTACTAAATCGTGACATGTTTAGTCACTAGAAAAAATTAATATCAAATTTAGTCACTCTAATTACTAAAACAGGTCACGCTTAGTCACTCTCTATTAGCCTCTGTCCAACTCCGTTAGTGAAGTCTGTTAAGTGATGACGTGGCTAATGGGAGCGCCTAGTCAGCGACATTTTGGCCCAGAAATGGTCAAACCCGACCCGCCATGTCATTAAACCCGCCATGTAATACACCCAACCCAAACCATTAACCCAACCGACTCAGAACCAAACCCTAGCCCTCCTAACAATTCAAAACAATGAAATCGATCGGGTTAGTTTCCATTCACATACCCGAGAACCCTTCTCCTTCCTCGAGAGTTCTTCACCTTCCGCTAGGTTCCACCATTTTCATCGGCACCGTTAGCAAAAACTTCAGATCTGAGGCTCTGACCTCTGTCGATTCCTATTCGCACTTTCCCTCCGGATCTATTTCCAGCCTTGTATAGTCGAGTCAGGCCGCCAGACTTTTTCTCGCACCTTCGACCATTCAAATGCCCAGTTCCCACTCTCCTCTCACAACCCTGCTTCCTTCGTTATTCTTCTCCACTTCGAAATCAGGGTGCGTCTATTCACCAAAAAATCAACACGATCAATTCAACAAACACATCATAATCATTTCTTACATGAGCATTTAGAGTCAAATTGGTTCTTCAACTATACCGAATCACAAGCAAACACAAAAAAATGGTAAGAAAACCGTTGCGAAACAACCAAGAGACACGGCGGAGGCGACGATGGAGGTTAGAGGAGTCCTGCGACAGAGAAAAGGGAGACCGGGGAGCAGGTTATTGAGTGGAAGAAGGTCAATCGAGAGCCTTGAAGAAGCTCTGTCGGCGGTAACCACAGCGAATGGAAACTAACCCGATCGATTTCATTGTTTTGAATTGTTAGGTGGGCTAGGTTTGATTCTGGGTCGGGTTGGGTTAATGGTTTGGGTTGGGTGTATGACATGGCGGGTCGGGTTTGACCATTTCTGAGCCAAAACGGCGCTGACTAGGCGCTCCCGTTAGCCACGCCAGCACTTAATGGACTTCACTAACGGAGTTGGATGGAGGCTAACGGAGAGTGACTAAGTGTGACCTGTTTTAATAATTCGAGTGACTAAATTTGATATTAATTTTTTCTATTAACTAAACATGTCACGATTTTGTAATCCGAGTAATCAAATGTGGCATTAACCCAGAGTTTTGATAAGAAAATAAATGCATAGGTAGTGAAGTTTACATTATAAAATCTAGAGGTACCAACTGTCTCGGGGAATGCTTCTTTGGGCTTCAAAACGGGTCGGTGGGAAAAGCCCAATCTGATAAACGGGCTGTGAATCGTGAGAAGAAGGTGCAAACTGCAAAGCAAGCACCCAAGCAGGACGCACAGTGAAAAAACAGAAAAAAACCCAAATTGGAACTGAAGGTGAAGGATCATCTCTCTCATTTCTATTTTTAGGGTTTCTGCTTCCACCATCGTCGCCCTCCTCCTCTGATTGCTACGGGTTGTTGCTGGTTTACGTGACAAAGCGAGCGAGATGGCTGCCAAGGAAGATTATCGAATTTTTGTTGGAGGTTTGGGCTGGGACACGTCTGAACGCCAGCTTGAGAGCGCCTTCAGCCGTTTCGGCAAGATTATCGACTCTCAGGTGCCCTTTCCCTTTTTCTTGATTTGGTTGATCTTGCTTTGCTTGATTCGCAGTTTTGAGTTCGGTTGTTGTGAAAGTGAGCTTAACGAGAGCGGAAACTATGCAGTTTATGTGTTCGCATGTTGGGTAATTCGTGGTGGTTAATAAAATTAGGAACTTTTGGAGATGTGCTAGTGACTTGTACCGAGAAATATCTGTCGCTACTCGCTAACCTTCATCTTCTCTTCCTTTTTCTCCCCAGTTATCCAAATGCTACTGCATTTATTGATTCCTGTGGGATTATAGAGATCCTTGTCATTTCTGTGAACGGCCATTCTGGTTAGTAGGGTGTTTCTAAAAACATCCATGTATTGGTATTCCCGTGTGGTTTCTGATTTGTTTGAACGCATAATACTTTAGCTCACTTCTACGAATGACTGCTGACTAACCCATTGCTCTTTGCAACTCGGTGTGTATGGTTGATTGAACTTCTTTACTCTTTCCTTTCTTTTCTCATCATCTTATTGTTTTTGTTGTTTCATCTGGACTTTCTCGTGATGATGTTTTGAGAATTGATGCTGCTGTATGATAAGAGAAAAGTTTTGGGGGTACAGTTGTCTGAATCAAGCTGCTGAAGTGCTTTGGGATAGGTTAAGTGAAAGTTGTTATATAGTGTTTCAAGATACATGAGTCAGAGACGCCAGTTGAAATTGTGTAGCTTCGTTTGTTGTATTTGAGCATCACGTGTGTTGTTTCTGTTAGAAGAAGAAATGTGGTTTGACAGTTGTACAGCTTGATTGCCGAGTATGAGGTTTGCTGGTGTCATATGGTTTGTGCCACCCTTGAATGGCTTACAAGGCGCCGAGAAATTTGATTTGCATGTTCTCTGATAGCAGAACGTTCAGTGTTTGTGACGGCGCGTCTTCATCTTATGGAAGCAGTTTTGTTCTCTGTTGCGTATTAGTTGGACAAAACAATTGTCAGTTTTCACATGGATTGTGCTGGACCTTCTCAAGCTTGGGAGTTGCATCAGGCCAATTGCTGACTTGGTCAATAACCTTTCTTGATTGTTTCCTTTCAGCTACAGTCCAGTGATCCTTATCATATCCCCTCTTTAGGATTGCTTCATACTGTGACCTCATTGCGTTTTAGCCCTTTCCTGCAACGACCATCAGAGAACCATTGACTCTGATGCATTCAGTTATAGTAAATACATTATGAAGTCATCCGACCTTTTCAGAAAGTTTGGTTGGATTTTGCGTGTCAATTAAGTGAGTTTGTGATATTGCACTACACTGTCTCTGATGCAAGGGAGCCACTTGTGTCTGCCATTCGTTGAAGTCAGATGTTCTAGTGTGGGGAGATGCTTTGGGGCCAGCTTCAGGCACTAGTGCTTTTCATTCTTCTTATTGTTCTCCTTTGTCTCCCTCTGGCTTGTTGCTGCCGTCTGGAAGTGCATCTGGAAGAATCATATTATTCCATTGATGTGTAGGAACTGCTTCTGCATGATAGTGAACTGATTCAGGGATGTGTCAGCAAAAGAGAATTGTATGGTTGATAGACTACTCCAGGTTGGGCAGTCCGCCCAAAAACTGACATCAAGTAGTGGGGTTTTGATCTATGTCTCAGTCTCAAGCACTAGAATTGCGGAGCACCTATTGTTGTCTTCGTCTGAAACTCTTTCTGTGTGGTCCTTTGATTTCTACCATCTAACCAAATGTGGCCTGCTGATAATGGAAACCATGGAGCTGTCTTCTTATAATGTGCCCATCTTGCATACCTTTTCAAAATTCTTGTAGACATATGGTGGTGATTATAATTGTGTTGAATAGTCGTAGGGGCCTTGTCATCTTTGTGGCCTATCAGGGATATTATTATAATATGGACTGCAGGAGCCCTACACTGTGGATAGAAACCTCGGGAGACTACTGGTCATTATTTGGCTCTGAAGTAGCTGTTAGTTTTTTTGGGCGTAATCAGCTTTTCAGATGTTATCAAGCTGTCACTTGTCGAAACTGCTGAGAGTTGTGGGATCTTTAACTTGTTAGATGTTCAGTTTTGTGGTGAAGTGTTTGTGGTTTGTCAGTTTTCTGTTTGGGTTTACGTGTTTGCTCGATGCAAGAGGTTCTTGGTTGCCTGATGGAACTTCAAAGGCGCACGGGGAGCACTTCTGCTCTGAATTCTGTTTCTCTAGAGTTGCTTGATTAGGATGTGATCTTAATAATGATAAGCTGTCAGGAAGGTTAAATGAATGCATTTCTGCAGAGTTGCATGTTGAAGAGAGTGGTAGAAATGCCTTGCTGTGAACAATTCTGAGGGGTCAAGGGTTTGAGGTTGCATATGTTACATCTGGATGGGTTTATCTAAGATATCAGGACAGGGATTTTTTATGGTATTGTTTAGGGTATCTATGAGATGTGATGACATAGAAGAGCATAATAATTACTTGGGGATTCACTGATTAGCTGGGATGTTTCTTTTGACTACAACATTGTTACGGAACTATCAATCAACGTTCTGTTGGAAACAGATGCCAGAGGTTCACTAGTTTAGATAACAGACATGGTTTCAGGATCTTTAAGTTTCTCTGTTTATACCTTTCCACAAACAAGTTCAGATGTGTTACCAGTCCTATAATAATGCAGTGAGCGTAAGCGATCTGCTTTCTTCTATTGTGATTGCATCTGAAGCAGGTATTTTTATTTTCTTTATAATAAATGCTTCCGAAACATTAGAGGTAGAGTCTATTTACTGTTCCTATGTGTTATGGAGCCTACAAGTAGGAAGCATATTCCCTTACCCATTTTGGAAAGCTTGGTGATTACATTCTAGACTCTCTTGTGTTTGTTATTGCTATCAGCAGCAATTTCCCTGTGAACTAGATGCACTTGGATGCAAGCAGACAATTCAATATATTTGATGGATCATGTCAAGCCAATTGAAAATAGTACTCTAGACTGCCATCCTATATGCATGGCCAGCTAGTTCCCCCGCCCCCTCCTGTCTCCGTCGTAGAAAGCCAAGATTCTTATTTTGTCATGTAAAGTTGGTTTCAATTGAAGTAAAAAATCATGGAATCCTTTCATGCATGTCAAAAAGAATGTTTTGAAGTTTGTTGATTTTACATTATCATCTAATGTCCCAGTTGAATTGTTACTGTTTTCATGCACTGGTGTGAAGTTTTCAATTGCTAAGGATGATATTGCTTGTAGATCATGGTGGAAAGAGATACAGGACGTCCCCGGGGGTTTGGATTTATAACCTTTGCTGATCGTCGGGGAATGGAAGATGCCATCCGTGAAATGCATGGACGGGAGTTTGGGGATCGACCCATTTCTGTGAACAAGGCCCAACCTAAGATGGGTGAAGATGCCGAGCCGGGCTACAGGGGAGGAGGCTACTCTGACAATCGCTATAAGGGAGGAGGCTACCCATCTGGTGGCAGGGGAGGACGCTATGGGGGAGGAGATAGGCCTGTTGGACAAGATGAGTGCTTCAAATGTGGGCGGCCCGGGCATTGGGCTCGGGACTGTCCATCATCAGGTGGCCGTGGAAGTGGTGGCAGTGCATTCCCTTCACGCTCAAGGTTTGGTGGCCCTGGTGCTGATCGTGAGGATCGCTTTGGAGAACGTGACCGATTCATTGATGACCGCTATGACGGTGGGCGCTATGCTGATAGGGATCGCTTTGAGAGCAGAGACAGATATGGGAGCCGCGATCGCTTCGCCGGTGACAGGTACCTTCATGTCACCATCTAAATATTGTTTGTTTTTGTATTTCGACAGTAGTTAATGGTGTATTATTTTCTTGCTGCTGTAGGTATATTTGATCAGGAAGTTTTGATTATTTGATCAACTGGACGTGCCAATACATAGTTGCTAACTGATTCAGTAAAGAAACTGAGACCCTTTAACTTGTGAATCATGTAGGTACCCTCCAGCTGGTGACCGCTTTGTTGGTGACAGGTACGGTGGTGGCTCAGATCGTTTTGGCCAGAATGGGTACGGCAAAGACAGTGCGTACGAGAGGGATGGAGGGCCACGAGGAGGCGGTGATAGGTATGCTAGTGCAGGACCGGTACGCAGCGAGAGGAGCTACAGGGATAGGCCAGGACCTTTCGACCGTCCAAGTAGCAGGGGAGGGCGTTCCTTCGACCGCTACTGAGACAATTGCTATGAGAGGTGCTTTCCTTCGGTGTAGCAGGTGTTTATGGTGGTCAGAAGAGTGTAGGCTTGTTATCTATCCCTTTGTACTGTTGTAGGCGTGTTTGGATTGAGCATCGGCGCTAGGTTTTCCATATGTGAATCCTGCTGAGATGATTGTGGTGTTCTTAGTTATTGGCTGCTGTCTGCAGTTGACATACAGAGGTGTTCAAGTTATTGCAATTCAATTCAGGTTTTGTCCAATAATATCATCAGTCGAATACGCATCCGTATTTTCCGAGAAATACTTGGCTCAAATCAGAAGCTACTTCTGCAAAAACTACCGCGGCAAAACTAGCCCATTACAGTAGAGAATAATCTGCATTCATCCCTATCATCTTCTTGTAGGGACGTTTTTTGTGTGGAACTGCATAGTTGGGATTTCCTTTTCAAGTTATAATGGTTGTACGACGTAGTCGTCGTCGTTTGAAAAGTCTTGTGATCAAGAAATGCTTGCCAAATAGTGCGTCGATCGCCGGTCTCATTTCCTTTTTGTCTTCTTTCTCCGGCTACGACTTTCGAGAAATGAATTGATGTGATGGAGTTTTTGGTGTTGACTGTAAATAGTTACAGATCCAGATATTTCATCAGGAGGTGCATTTTCTGAAATTACATTAAACTTTATTCTTAAATTAGAAAATATTCTATCAGTACAAATTGAGAAAACACCACAACGTGTTTTAATATTACGAGGATAAAATGATAAAATACACCAAATTTGCAATGTTTAACAAATCTCTTTCGATCGTTTATTAGAAGTAATCAACAGTTTTCTTCAAATTACGATAAATCGATAACTTGTAAGTTATCACAGGAAAGTAAGCTCAATCATTATATAACACTATTCGATAAAATCTTCTGATTTTTCCCCAATCTCATGGCAAACAAACAAAAATGGGTCTTCGGGTCTAGGTCGTCGGACAGAACGTTAAAAACAAAGAGTTTGCTAATAATGGAACTCCATCGATGTCGATAAGGTCATCACATCAGTCAATGACAGCATCTGTCGCAAAGCTTTAATTGGTTCGGCGACGGACTAAAGTCCGACGGCGGCGAAAAGTATGCATATATATATGCTTCGACGCCGCCGATGATACTATATATACATTTTTGGTCTTATGATAGGTCCATCTGTTTTATATTATAATAAATTGGGTTCTTGGCTCCTGTTATGAAGGCCCGATTCCTTCCGTTCATGGCGATGCTTTGAAATGGAAGGGATGAGAGTCAAACAAAGTATCATAGTTTATTCTCTTACCATACAAATATGTAAAACCTAGAATTTACACAAGATATTCTACGTTGAATTGATTCCAAGAAAACCTAGAATTTACACAAGATATTCTACGTTGAATTGATTCCAAGAACTAGGTGTGGCCATACGGTCCGGTCAGGTTAAGTTGGTTCGAATTGATCCGGTCTTTTCGAGAATATAAGGACAAAAGATTGGATTGGATACAATAAGGTCTTGATCTGGTTCGGTCTTGAATAGGTCTGGTCCCAATTGGGTCGTGATTTTAGATTGACCTTGTGGGGATTTGAGTGGCCTAAGGCCTGAAAGGGCGAGGAGGTTAAAATTTGGGCGTTGGGCTCTCTTATTCGGCTTTTATCCGGTTTTCGGTCCGGTCCCAAACGGATTTTTTACCTAAAATCTAGGCCCGAAGATTGGATTGGATTATTTGCTGTCCGGTCACGGCCCGGTCTCGGTCCGAATTATACGGTCTGGTTTCGGGTAAAACCAAAAAGACCGGACCAAATAGCCACCCCTACCAAGAATCCACGTATCCGTTAAGTGTGCAACGGTTTGGTCTGTATCGGAGTAAACGAACTTTTGAAGTAGACTATTTCAAATTGACTATAATATGTTTCGGACCGAATTGATATCTGGACCGAACCAGACTGAACCGAAATGTAATATTGGTCTGATCCTTTGCTCGGAAAATATCTTTCACTATTAAACCGTAATATTTTTTTTTAATTTGGTACGATCCGACCAGACCGTTTAAGGTCCATTCCATTCTAGCCTTTCCCCCACATGCCCACTATCCCTTACACGTCGCCGGTACAATTTCACTCTCACTTCGCCTTCCCTACCGACGTCCAACGGCAGCCCCACACCCACAAATATCTCCAAAATTATTTTGCCTTCCTCACGGCACTAATAGTGGCCTATTTGTTTCAACTTAACTTTCACCATAATCAACCATATGCCCAAATACACCAAAAGGACGAAGAAGAAGAAAAAAAAATCTTCTCTTTCTCTCTTTTGTGCGCTCTTAGCGAACCACATGTTAGACCACTACCATCCACAATGCACTATGTCTATGGGGTCACCATAGATCGGATAGTACGCTGCGGATTATGAGTTGTAATAGTTCGCGTTCGATTTGTAATCCTACAACTATAGAAAGTAAATAATTATTGTAAAAAAAAAAAGATAAAAAAAAAATACAAACCGATATTAGGCGAGTCAGCTAACATTAAATTCTCCTCTCCAGCTAGCTGAAGATCCTTTTTTTTTTTAAAAAATCACACTCAGCTCTCTTCTTGTCTCTCTATAAAAATCTCCCCCCAAACTCCCAACTCCCAACTCCCAAACCTTTCAACTAGACAACAATAAACGAGATAAAAAAACGTATTATACCATGGTGGCCGCCGGCGACATGAGGAGCCTGACCGTCCACACCGTGAAGGGGCGGTGGTTCATGGTCTTCGCCTGCCTCCTCATCATGTCCGCCGCCGGCGCCACCTACATGTTCAGCCTCTACTCACCCGACGTCAAATCCTCCCTCGGCTACGACCAGACCACCCTCAACCTCCTCAGCTTCTTCAAGGACCTCGGCGGCAACGTCGGCGTCCTCTCCGGCCTCATCAACGAGGTCACCCCGCCCTGGGTCGTCCTCTCCATCGGCGCCGCCCTAAACTTCTTCGGCTACTTCATGATCTGGCTCGCCGTCACCGGCAAGCTCACCCACGTCAAGGTTCGTAAAATCGTATCAGAAGTCGTACCGAAAAAATAAAAAATCGCAACTCAAAACACTTTCAAACCGCTAAAAATTGCCTAACAGTTTAAACCGCTAATACGATACGATTTTATTATTATTATTATTAAATCAGGTGTGGCAAATGTGCCTCTACATCTGCGTGGGCGCGAACTCCCAGTCGTTCGCCAACACCGGGGCGCTCGTCACGTGCGTCAAGAACTTCCCGGAGAGCCGCGGCGTCGTTTTGGGGATTTTGAAAGGCTACGTGGGGCTTAGCGGCGCGATCATCACTCAGCTCTACCACGGATTCTACGGCGACGACTCCAGGTCGCTCATCCTCCTCATCGCCTGGCTCCCCGCCGCCGTCTCCTTCGCCTTCCTCGTCACCGTCCGGATCATGAAGGTGCCGGTCCGGCACTCGGACGAGATCAGGGTCTTCTACAACTTCCTCTACATCTCCCTCGGCCTCGCCGGGTTCCTGATGGTCATGATCGTCCTCCAGAAGCAGTTCCGGTTCGACCGGGGCGAGTACGGCGGCAGCGCCGCCATGGTCCTCGTCCTGCTCTTCCTCCCCCTCGCCGTCGCCGTCGTCGAGGAGTACAAGATCTGGAAGGACAAAAGAGTCATTCCGCAATTTTCCGGTCCGATCGGACCGAAACCCATACCCGAACCGGTCAAAATCGTTGCCACCCCCGCTCCCACCACTAATGTGGTCCTCCAGGATGGGGACCACAGTGACGCGGCAGGATCGTCGTCCTCCTGCTGGAGGACCGCGTTCCGGCCGCCGAGCAGGGGCGAGGACTTCACCATCCTGCAGGCCCTGTTCAGCCCCGACATGTTGATCCTGTTCCTCGCCACGACCTGTGGCGTCGGCGGGACCCTGACCGTGATCGACAACCTCGGCCAGATCGGGACCGCCCTGGGCTACCCGAAAAAATCGATCAGCACGTTCGTCTCGCTCGTCAGCATCTGGAACTACCTGGGCCGGGTCGGGTCGGGTTTCCTGTCGGAGCACCTCCTGACCGCGTACAAGTTCCCACGACCTCTGATGTTCACCTTAATCCTCCTCCTCTCCTGCCTCGGCCACCTCCTGATCGCGTTCGACGTCCCGGGCGGGCTCTACCCGGCGTCGATCGTGACCGGGTTCTGCTTCGGAGCCCAGTGGCCGCTCCTGTTCGCGATCATATCGGAGATCTTCGGGTTAAAGTACTACTCCACGCTCTACAACTTCGGGTCGGTGGCCAGCCCGATCGGGTCGTACCTGCTCAACGTCCGGGTGACCGGTTACCTATACGACAAGGAAGCGAGGGAGCAGCTCGAGGCGTCGGGTCGGGTCAGGGCACCGGGTCAGGACCTGAATTGCGTCGGGTCCAAGTGTTTTAAGCTGGCTTTTGTTATAATCACGGCCGTGACTCTGTTTGGGACGCTTGTGTCGCTGGTTCTGGTGATGAGGACGAGGAAGTTTTACCGGGGTGATATTTACAAGAGGTTCCGGGAGGAGGCGGCGGCGGCGCCGGTGGAGCAGGAAATGACGGTGGCGGAGGGGAAAGTAAAAGATAGGCAAGAGGACTAATTATTAAAGCGTAGAGATTGACGTGTGGGAGAAAAGATGGGGAAGAGAAGACATCACGGAAGTTGTCATTTGTCAAACTCCATTAGAGATTAATTTAGTGTCTCATTCCTCTATGGTGATTTGATTTGCATAATCATGGCGGTGGTGATGACGAACTTTCCCTAACCTCCTACCTTCTAATTAACCCAAAATGTACGGAGAGATCTTTCACCAAATGTATGAAGATTGAAGACATAACGTAAAGTGGGTGTGATGGTTAGAATGTAATGGAGTTGTATAATAATGGGCATATACAGACATTTGATAGCTACAAGTGATAGAAACATGGATTTTGGGCACTAGTGATTACTCGTAATCGAATACAATAGAAGGGGTTTAGGAATTGGGGAGATAGCTCGAATTAGTGATTTAAGATGGAGAATCGAAAACTGTGATAGGAAGAACATAATTTGAGATTGGAGATTTAATTAGAGGAGAAAATTGAGCATAGTAGGGATAAAATGGTCCATGACCTTACGGGTAGGAAATACGAGATAAAATGGCCAAATGGTCGACGGCATTAGAGATAATTGTTTTACTATTCTTCTTTCGTAATTCTAACGAGATGTGCAATGTACGTACATATAGGACAATAATCGAAACCCTACTTGATAATAAAAATTGTCCCAGGCTCCTAGCTAACAATTGAACAAGCAAGTAAGTATATAACAACTAGATTAGGGCCCCGCCTCTTGGCCGGGAGAATTTGATTTTCATGTGTATGTGTAGTAAACATTGAGGTATATATTTTTTTATGGTTCATGTTGTTAGAATCGCACCCTGGGCTACCATCCCTTCGTGCCGTGCTGACATAGTTATTCACCTTAATATGATTAGAGTAGACTGGAGATCCTATAAACTCTTAAAAGAAGATCCTTGACTCGTTTTCCTTTCCTTTAAAACAAAAGCCTTTAAAACTGAGACCGATATTCTAGTATTCCTTGGAGACCAAGGAACAGAGGAAGACCGGCTCTAATACCAAAATGAAACACTCTAACCCGGCCGGATACTACTTTTACTAAAATGCCCTTGATAAATAAAATGCTCAAATCTTAAATTGCAGCGGGAAAAATTTTCACAAATAAAATACTGAAAACACACACTTGTAGTTCAAAGCAAAGCCCTAACACGTGGGCAAATTAAACTCAAACTTTAAATCTCAATCTGTTCTCCAGTTTATACTCATAATCATAAAACGTAAATAACTAGGTAGTCTCTGTCGTCGCTGCTACTGAAAATCTTAACTAGGCATCCTCCGTGGCGCTTGCACTGCCCTCCTCTAGCTGGTTGCTCTCGAACTTTTCCTCTCGAACTCGCTGCTCTCTAACTGCTCCTCTAGCTAGCTGCTACCGATCTGGTTCTCGCTCATTCCCTTACTAAGGCCTGGTGAGTGAGTTGGGGTCAGTCAACGCCCTTACGTGTTAATAATTCTAATACTTGAGTACTTTACTTAAACACTTAACTTTGACTGGTGGAAGTTGTTTGTACTTCCAAACTTAAAATCTTAACTCTTAAACTTTGAGGGAGTTGAAGTTACTCTCCTCTCTTAAAGCTCAAATCTTGACTTAAATACTTGACTGACACGGGGATCCCTCACTAGCTAGTCCGGTTGCCAACTCATACGTATGAGAAGCCATCCAGGCTTTACTTAAACTTAAACTTAGTTAGGGAAGTCGTAACGATTCATCCCCCTAACATCTTTAACTTATCGTGGTGGCTCTTCACTACGATTCTCAAGAGCATAACTGTTGCTCTGTCTCAAAGATCTCAAGAGCATAACTCTTGCTCTATCTGAAAATCTCAAATGGCAACGGACTGGCGCTAGTGACTAAAAACACTTAAAACGACTTCACCTTCTTGAAGTTGAGTTACTTCTTTAAAAGAACTTGTTTCTTACTCTTTAATAATAACTTATACTAGTAAAAATTTCAAAGTAATTTATAAACATTCACTTCAAGCATAGCTCAAACAAAATCACCTCAAATAGCACAAAATCATCTCAAACCATAACTCAAGCAAAGCACAAATAATCAATCATACACATAATCATGCAATATCAAACACGAATCAAATATTGCACGCACATCACGTAAATCAATACTTAAAAATACTCAAAGCAAATACTTGAAAAATCGTAAGGCGTAGAATTTACCCCCTTTACACTCACCTTATACCCGTCGAAACCAACTCTGAATCTGCTCTAAAATTTCCATACTTGCTCCAATTAAATTCTCCTCGTTATCACGATTCCATAGGCGCTGACGATTCCTCGCCTTTACGCTGCTCGTCCTCAACCTTAACCTCATCCTCTCCAAGTCCGAAGAATCCACCGAGAAGCAATCCCCACACCGGCAATCATAGCAAAGCTCCACCACCACGTCGTTATCAAGTAGCCTCAATATCAACTCTAGCTTCATTATATGAGCCTTGTGCCGTTGAATATATGCCTCTAAATGTGTCAGTCTGGGTGGCCTTGTCTTTCCTTTCTTCACGGTGAGACCTTCTATTTCAGCTTCAAAGCTATCAATATGGGATTCTAACTCGCTCACCGAATTGTTCAGCCAATCCCTTGTCTCTTATTTAGCCTTCTCCCTTGGATCAGTTTTAGGTTGTTGACCAAGCCCTTCTTTTGAGAATGTTTTTGTCTTAGTTTCCTTTTCGCATATCTTAAATCCTTCCATTTCACGTTAAATCAACTTACGAGCATCCACCAGTGCCTGTTCATAAGTTGCGCTAACCTTTTTATCCTTAATCTCGCTAGACTGGATCCATGTCTTGATCTGGTCTCTGTATCTCTGCAGTTTCTTGATCTCCTTTTTCAAGTCTGCCTCAAACTTCTCTTTCTGATTTGCATTGTCGGTATCATAAACCTTGTTCCAGATGTTGTCAAAGACATCTACACCTTCTTGAACCTTCTTCAGTACCCGATCGATCTCTCCCTGTAGCCTCCGACTAGCTCCCATTGCCAAAGGATCTTCAGAATTCCACTCTTCGTCTGGTTATCATTCAAGGAAATAAAATGTGATGGCTGAATCGCAACTGCAGTGCAATGAAGTTGAGAGTCTGTGGTGTTCTAAGGATTTAGGGTTTCAGTGTTTCCTGTTCTCGGTTGTGTTGATTTGTAATTTTGGGGTTCGACGTTTAATTAGGTGTCGGGTGAGTTTAATCCAAAACTCGATTAATGTCCGTAACTTTCTCATATGATGTCGAAATTCGATGCCGCTTGAACCGATAGTTCACATTTTTAGTCCTCCTCGACATTACGGTGAAATTTGACAAATTTGGACCAAGGGCATAATCGTCATTTCGGCTTAGAAAAAGATGGGGGGTGTAACATTTCCTCCACCCTTATAAAAATTTCGTCCCCGAAATTTTCTTGAAACCCATTGCTCATTCTACACCACCTTTGTACCTCCTTGCCTCAAGAATTTACTCTAGCTAAATGTACTTCGATGATGTCCGCTGCTTGTCCGATGTCCGTTGCTTGTCCCGTATAGTTTACCTCGCTTCTTATATTTCCTCTTGACTGTAGAAGGGATTCTCACCAAGCTCGTTAGCATCGGTCAGTTTTGGGTGGCTACTTAGCCTTTTTAATTCCCCACTTGGGCGTAAGGCGTGACGGGACAACACTTCGAGTCGATTTATTGGTCCAGCTCATTCAGTACTTGTTGTTGAACCTATCGAAGTCGAGGTATCACATCTGTGCATCTTGAAATCTGTCCAAATCAAATATGTTTCATCATACACACACCACAATATAAACCGTCAAACTCTTTTGTAGTCTAGTCAAATTAAAATGATCAATTAGGGTCAAGATAAATCACAATTGAAGTTAATAGAAGGGGTTGAGGAACTGGGTAGATAGATCGAATTAGAGATTTGAGAAGGAGAAGCAAAAATTGTGGCGGGATGGACATAATTGGGGATTGGAGATTTAGAGGAGAAGATTGAGCATAGTAGGGATAGAATGGCCCATGACCTTAGGGGGAGGATAGACGGGGGACCGAATGGTCGATAGCTTTAGAGATAATTGTTTTGCTATTCTTCTTTCGTAATTCTAACGAAATATGAAATGTACACATACAGATGAAAATAATCGAACCCCTAGCTAATAATAGAACATAATCCTAGGCCCCTAGCTAACAAACTGAAACACGCAAGTGAATATATATTTTATAACAATAATGATATCGGCAGGTTTTAATTACAAAGTTATCTATAAAATGATAAAAGTAATTATTCGGGAACGATGATGGGGATACAAATGTGAAAAGACCACTAAATCAAATATGTTTCGTCACACGCAGATCATGCTATCGTATAATCCGCCAACTCTTATGTAGCCTAATCAATTAAAATGATTAACTTGTGTCAACATAATTAATAGCTGAATATATGGTATCACAAGGAATGGAAAATGCAACTATTTTGGGAGAGCTTATTATTGGACTGTATTTTTCGAACCTTTCAATATTTTTTTTGCTAACAATTTGGACGTATTCTTACTAGTACCACGCTAGTGGGATATGCAATTGGTACTTGTTGTGACTGAGTTCCCTGAAATGTGACCGACCGATCTGGGGGCATATCATATGCACTTTTGCATTATTGTCCTCGATTTTCCGATTGTGCAAACCTCATTCCTCATACTGCATGGTTTAGCCATTGTTGGAAGGACACTTGCTAGTGGTCGCACACTCCCTCATTCATCATATTCAAGTTTCTCGTGACACCGAAAAGGACAAACGTTGCCCTATTAACCGTTGCAACCGAAGGACAATACTAGGAGTGTGCAATGATCCAATCCGTATCACACCGATATTAAAACCTGACCGAGTATAATGCGGTTTGTTTCTTTGGTCCTTCGGAATTTTATAATTAATGAAGAAATGATGTACTGAGCTGATATTTGGACTGGGCCGACCCAGACCAAATGGACCAAATATAAAAATGGTTAGTTCTTTGGTCCTAAAATGTCTTTTAATAATGGACCACGGTTCTCATTGATCGGACCGGACAAGCCGTTGCACAACCCTAGACAATACTGTTATGGGTTAACGGATATCCACTGTAAATGAGTATTGTGAGAGGATAGTGTTTTTTTTTAAATGTGAGAGGATAGTCGTAGCATTCTCTGACCTATGAGAAATAATGACTATTGACAACGGAGAAGATTTCATATTGTTGCTTATTCTATATATATATATTTATTATTATTTTTAAGGTTGGTTTATTTCATAAAATAAGGGGTAATATCTATTTTTTATTCAAACCTTTTTCATATTCTTTTATATCATTAAAACCTATTAAAATGTTATTAATTAGTCAAATCTTTCTTAATGTATCAAAATATTAGCCATTTTTTCGTTATCATTAATAATTTGGTAACTCTTTTCTTAGTTAACATACAAAATTTTGGCATATTGACATTCATGTGTCTCTTTCAAGTCCGTCATGTTGCCAAGTCAATATTACTAACAAAAATTGCTAACTAGAAGTTAACATTTGACTAATTTTTAGTATTTCAATAGGTTTAGAAGTTTTGGATAATACATAGTCATTATCAAAAAAATAAAATATTTCTTACAACAATGACTATCCAATCGGATATCAATAAATGTGTTACCATTTCGATAAAAAAAAATATGAATGTATTACCGACCGTTAAACAGCGGCGGATACAAGGGGGGCCAGACTGGGCCCGGGCCCAGCCCTCCCTGCCACCCCAAGACCCAACCCAGCCGCATTTCATTGTATAAATATTTGGGCCCAGCCCGTCTCAAGACCCAGCCCATGTTCATCATTAGTTATTAGTTTTCCCTGCAGCCCAAACAACCCAAATAAGTGAATAACAAGCCCAAACAACCCAAAGTGAATAACAATCTCCCGCCCGACTCCTCATTACCATTATTCATTATTAGCTTCCCCTGCAAGTTTGGAACCAAAAAGAAAAAAGAAGACCAACAGTCTCGCTGATCGCTGCTCCTGCTCGTCCCAAGAGGTAAAATCTTTTTGCTCAAAACATGCCATAGAGGTGCCTAATATGAATGCTACACTTGGACGTGGTGAGAAGCAAACAACTCTTGAGCACCGCTACCATTTTGAATACTTTAATCAATGCATAGATTTTCAGTTGGGAACATTGAATTCAAGATTCAATGAGTCCTCAGTCAGATTGCTTCAATTGAGTGGTGCACTAGACCCTAAAAGTTCTTTCCGGTCTTTTGATGAAGAAAATATTTACAGACTTGCTGAAGAGTTTTATCCTCGAGACTTTGAAGGCAATGAGATGAATTGTTTGAAGAATGAGCTAGGATATTATGCCGATCATGTGGTTCATAGTCAAGAATATGATGTTTCTTCCCTTGCAAAATTACTAGAGAAGCTGGTGGAAACAGGGATGGTCGCACGGTACAGATTGATTTGTCGGTTGATTCGTCTAGTGTTGACATTGCCTGTTTCAACGGCTACTACAGAGAGATCCTTTTCAGCAATGAAACATGTGAAGACTGATTTGCGCAACAAGATGGGCGATGAATTTCTTGCTGATTGTTTAACTATTTTCTTTGAGAGAGAGTATGTTATTGGTATGGATGAAGACTCAATTATTGACGAATTTTCTAAATTAAAAGACCGTCGTGTACAATTGACATTGTAATGCAAACTATAATTTTTTTTTTGTTTACGGTATCTAATTTTATGTTCGAATCCGGCCCAGTGCACTTTTATATCCTGGATCCGCCGCTGCCGTTAAAATACATGTTAGATATTTTAACATGGTTCCACAACTTTTATAAAATACAACAACTAATATAACACTAATGGTGATTTGCATAATTTTTTTTTTCTGATGGGAATTTTCAAATTTGCATGTAGATATTTTGGTGCGATTTGACCTATTGGCCCACGAGAAGAGAAAAGCAAATGAAAGGACCCGCATGCATGCGTTGCATTGGCCAGTGGCCCAGCGCAGCGGTGAAAAAGGCAACTTGGACTTGGTCCCCAGCCAGTATCCAACTACTTTTCGTTTTTTTGTCGGAAGTCGGAACAGATCCTCTCTGAGGCAACTCGAAGTTGGGGAAGAGGAATGTTGAATGGGCTTCGGGCCCATGGTCGTTCAATATCTGGCCCAGAAGGACTTCTGTTTGGGATGAGTACAGGATTTTTTTTATACGAGTGTATTCCCATCCCCAGCGTCGAGTTTTTATTTGGGTTTTTTTACAAAGGGATACTTGTATTGTATTGCACTTTGAATGATCGATTACAAGAGAACCAACAAAGCAAACCAAAAATAGAACAAGGACAGAGAAACATAAGCACATAGATGCTCAATCAACGCTTCAGAGATACAACAAGAAGAGCACAAAACCCAGAAAGAGTCATCCAACAAAGGATCTGAAACACTTGAACCAAAATCAGTATACACCGAAAGCTCTCTTGCAAGCAAAACAAACGAAGTAGCACCAAGCGCAAACAGCTCGTCCGATCCGACCGAGTCCATGACGATTGAACACAATGTCATTAGCCGCCTCCGGGGAGTCGCTCGAAGACGCTCAACACAGTGAACTCACGGGTGAGAGATTACATGGCGGTGGACATAGATGAGGATCGAAATGCTCCGAGCTGAAGAGGCAGGGGATGACGAGGCTCCAAGACTTGGTCAAGGGAAGCAGAAGAACCCAGATCCCCCCATCAAAGAACTGAACCCCACGAGCAGCAAGGCTAGACACTGCAATCCATCCTCCGTCGGCCACCTAGATGCAGAACAACCACCTGGGAAGAACGAAGGGGAAAACCAGAGAATCGATTCACCACATAAGCTGTTAAACCAACCATCATGAGAGAAGACCCAAGATGCATAACCCAGCCCCAAAGGAGAGCAAATCCCAGCAAAAAACCCTAGAACCGGGGAGCGAAATGCCAAGAATGGCTTGAAAAGCTTGAAAGCTGAAAAAGCATAGTGAAAACAACAAAAACAAAGACAGGGAAGTAAAAAGAGGTAGCATGAAGAAAGAAAAGGGGATAGGCTACCGCCGGTCACCAAGAGATGCTGGCGGCAGCCTTGGGGAGCTTCAGAGCGAGAGGAAAGGTAGAGAGAGATTAGAGCAAATTTTTAATTAAAGTTAGAGCGAGTCGAGTTTTTATTTGGGTTAGCGGCTAAATTGGTGCATAAATTAAAGTACTTCGTAAAGCGCAATAAGCCCTTATATATGGCGTTCTAAACAAATTGACCCTTCTAAATAACACCCCGTTAAACATTTGCTAAATAAATTATAAATGAGTTCGAATAGTGATACGCCATATAATTGTTTATCACTAAAATTCACCTTGTACCACATCAATTAAACCCAAGAGATTAAATGGTTTTATAAGGCCAACTTAATTATAACAATTAAAATCAATTAAGATGGGTCACGGGGATTGGATTTTTGGGCCCATGGCACCCATGCCAAACCCACTCTGCGTGCCACCCTTGCCATCAATTCCAAAATTTGGCTAAGTGTTGGAACCACCCCAGCACTTGGCAAGGGGGTGGGCATCATACCGCCACCCCCATGACATGGTGGGGGGGGGGGGGGGGGAGGGGGTGTGATGACCGACTCCACGTCAGCATATCAGTTTCTTGGGACAGTTACTTCTGGTGGCTATAAATAGGAGGTAAAGTTGACAGAGAAGGGGTTCGCCAAAATCACACAAGACAACACAATGTCAACTTTTATCCTTTTATCCTTTCCTCTGCAAATTTAGCCATAGTTTTAGTTCTGGAGCTCTCACTGAACCTCCATAGGAGTAGAGTTAATGTAATTTGCCTCGTAGATCATCAAGAACATCGAACACCCTTGTTTGCACTTTGTTCAAAGAGGTGGATCGTGTTTGTTAATCGTTTGTTTGGAAGTAAAAAAGGTGCAAAAATCAATTCTCTGTTCATCTAGTTTTTATCGCTGGGAAAACAATAATAAAGAGACCAAAATGTCAGGAGCTTATCGTAATGCAAGATGGTGGGTCATAATAAGAGTGGGGGATTAAACCACTAATACCATCGAAATCACGTAGCTTGGCAATACGTTTTGTTTTGAGGTTTAACCGCAATCGAACAAAAGAAGGAATAACTGATCAACTGACCGCAATTAACAATTCAACTAGGCCTCCACAACATGTTGTAGCATCTTTAATCAATAGTTTCTAAGTATGATCAATAAAGATTGTGAGTGAATGACGTAAATTCCAAAAATCAATAGGTACTTGAGCTTCCAAACCCACCATCCGCACATAACTAACAATTAGTACGACTGGCAAAATATTAAACTAGTTGCTACGGTGAACCGTTTTTCGGCGCGGTTTCAGTTGACGATCATGACTTATAGCTTTGTTTTAATTGTTAACTGCAACTAACAATAAATTTTGGTGCACTTAACGTCAACCATACCGCGTTTCCCAGTCCTAGATCGTAGTGATGGCAATTTCAACCCGCCTCGCGGGTATTACCCGACCTGACTAGCGATGGGGGCGGGTATTACCCGATCCACAGTAGCGTGGAGCGGGATATGGGTATCTACTTTCGACCCGCCCTGCCCCGCCCGCCCCATTTTAGACTCAATTTCTTACAATTTCTATACATATTTCTCCTATTTTGACTTTTCTTCAACTAGTTAGAGTCGCTCTTTCAACTTGTTAGACTCAATTACCCATTCTATTATCACTATTTTTCATTCTTAAAGTGTTTTTCCCTTCGTTTTATCGTAAAAAGTAAAATTTATTTCTATTTTTTCCGAATAACATGTAATATTGGGTCGACCCGCCCCGCCCCGTACCCATACCAATTTTACCCGCCCCGCCCTGTAACAGCATGGGACGGGGCATAGGAATTGAGGTACCCGCCCCGCCCCATCACTACTAGATCGCAATGCACTACACTCATGATAAGCAAATGGGAAAAAATCAGTGAAGCAAAGCCCAAGCCCAAAAACAACCGACGACCTCAAAGGCCCAAACTTAAGTCAATTTCAACAACCTAACGCAACTCGAACTCGCACCAACCTGTGTCCAAAATAAAATAATAATAACAAAAAAAATCGCCTGGACCTGCCTGCAACCTTCTCCCCGTACACGTGTCGCTCCCTCGACCCTGGACCGTCTATAAATACCGAAATCCCCACCTCTCTCCACAAACCCCTAACGCCCCATCGTCGCCACCACCACTGCTTCTTGCCGCCGTACCGCCACAGCCGCTCTGCCCTCCCTTTTTTTGCCGCACTGCGCAAACCCTAGATCTCGCACCCACCAACACACTCTCTCTCCAGATCTCTCTGTTGTCTTTCAGGTGATTGCTTCCCTCACCGACTTTTCCCGATGTTCCTTTTTGGTACCTTGTTCTCGTTGGATTCTGATGCGTTGTATTTGCTTTCGATTGTTTTGTAGAGTTCGTGAAGATGGTGTCGGACGCGAGCAAGAAGAAGGCGGCGCAGAAGAAGGCAGCGGCTGCGGCCAAGAGAGGTGGGAAGGCAGCTGCTGCTGCCTCCGCATCCACGAAAGCGGGCGATTCTTCCCAGAACGGGAGCGCCGTCGACAAGCTGTCCAGTGGAATTGGTGCGATCGAGATCTCCGATCGTAATTGTACGGGAGTCCTCTGTTCCCATCCACTCTCCAGAGATATTCGGGTGAGTGGGTTTATTATCCCGTGGCTCAAGTGCGAATTTATTCTAGGGTTGAGATTTTGGGGTAGTTTTATTGGTTTTCGTTCGTTCTATAATTTAAGTCATGGATGTGATGGCAGCGCATCGGGTATTCATTGGTTCCCACTTGCTGGGAAACTGGCTCTACTTGTTCTGTCGTCAAGATTACCCCTTTTTAGTATACAATATGCCTTCCATCTTTAGAGAAGAGGATGCCTTATGGATTGTTAATGGTTCCTTGATTATTATGTTTCGTATTGGCGTAATGGTCTTGGGTCCCTTCTCGTTTCTTTTTCTGTTGTGAGCAAAATGCTTCCCAAGTAGCTCAAAATAGTTTTACGATATGTAGTCAATTTATATCCCTTTTGTCATGCTGTTCTTTTGTGAGAATGCGTTAGTGGCTGTTATTGTCGGGCCACTGGTTGTAGGTAATGTTGCAGTTGTAGGATATTTTTCCCAATATAGAAAGAGCAATTATGAATGCATGGTAACTAGACTTAATGTGTACTAACATAAACTTTTTCATGGCAGATCGAGTCTTTGTCAGTGACGTTTCATGGACATGATCTCATTGTTGATTCCATGCTGGAGCTTAACTACGGCAGGTTGGTACTCCGACCCTTCTATTTTTTTTAATGAACATGTATTCTGAGACACTGATTGTATGTATTGTTACTTCAATTTTCTGTTTCAGGCGATATGGTTTGCTTGGCTTAAATGGATGCGGGAAATCTACGCTGCTTACTGCTCTAGGCCGTCGAGAGCTTCCCATTCCTGATCACATGGATATATATCATCTTACCAGGGAGATTGAAGCCTCTGACATGTCCTCGCTTCAGGCTGTTATCTGCTGTGATGAGGAGAGGATCAAACTGGAGAAAGAGGCTGAGGTTTTGGCAAGCCAGGTATTTAGAGTTATTGAACAATGCGACTTGTCTTTGATGTTGGTCCTTGAAGCCTCTACTTATCCTCTTGTTTCTTTTTTTTTTTGTCACGGCTTAGGATGATGGTGGTGGCGAGACACTTGAGCGAATTTATGAGCGCTTGGATGCTCTGGATGCATCTACAGCTGAAAAGCGTGCTGCTGAAATATTGTTTGGTCTTGGTTTTGATAAGCAAATGCAGGCAAAGAAGACCAGAGATTTTTCTGGTGGGTGGAGAATGAGGATTGCGCTTGCTAGAGCTCTGTTCATGAACCCCACTATTCTCCTTCTTGATGAGCCTACTAATCATCTTGGTAAGTGTTGTGAATATAAATTCTACTGAATCTTTGAAGGGAGTCAACCTTGCATGCGCAATATATTATACATGATATGCATATCTTGCCAACCTTGAATGTATTTACACTAGCCTTAATATATATGCTTCTGTGCTGCATTGGTTCCTGTAACTCTTTTTATTAGTTTCCAGTTTCACCTTTTCTCTTGATTACGAAAATTTGATTCCTCGATACCATACAAGAGTACCCTCAATTGTCTAGTCCCAACTACTAGCCAAAAAACTTATAAGGTCATTCGTTTTGTTTGTTTGCAGATTTAGAAGCTTGTGTTTGGTTGGAGGAAATGTTGAAGAAATTCACCAGGATCCTAGTGGTGATTTCCCATTCCCAAGATTTCTTGAACGGTGTCTGCACAAACATAATTCACATGCAGAGCAAGACTTTGAAGATTTACTCTGGCAACTATGATCAATATGTCCAAACTCGTTCCGAGCTGGAAGAGAATCAGATGAAGCAGTACAAATGGGAGCAAGATCAGATTGCTAATATGAAGGAGTACATTGCTCGATTTGGGCACGGTTCGGCCAAGTTAGCTAGGCAGGCACAGAGCAAAGAGAAGACCCTTGCTAAGATGGAGCGTGGTGGGCTTGCTGAAAAAGTTGTGAGAGACAAAGTCCTCATATTCCGCTTTGTTGATGTGGGCAAGCTTCCCCCGCCCGTGCTCCAGTTTGTCGAGGTGTCATTTGGTTACACCCCTGAAAATCTGATCTACAAGAATATTGAATTTGGGGTCGACCTGGATTCCAGAGTTGCATTGGTGGGGCCCAATGGTGCTGGCAAGAGTACATTGTTAAAGCTGATGACTGGAGACCTGCATCCTACTGATGGCATGGTTCGTAGGCACAACCACCTGAGGATAGCTCAGTTCCATCAGCATCTGGCTGAGAAACTCAACTTGGACATGTCTGCACTCCACTACATGATGAGGGAGTATCCAGGGAACGAGGAGGAGAAAATGAGGGCAGCGATAGGGAAATTCGGGCTGACAGGAAAGGCCCAAGTGATGCCGATGAACAACTTGTCAGATGGACAAAAAGCAAGGGTGATTTTTGCTTGGTTGGCTTATCGACAACCTCACATGCTGCTTCTGGACGAGCCGACAAATCACTTGGATATCGAAACCATAGATTCTCTGGCCGAGGCATTGAGCGAGTGGGATGGTGGGTTGGTTCTTGTTAGCCACGATTTCAGGCTCATAAACCAGGTGGCCAAGGAGATCTGGGTGTGTGAGAATCAGGCTGTTACACGGTGGGGAGGTGACATCATGGACTTCAAGCAGCACCTCAGAAAGAAGGCTGGGCTATCTGACTAAACTAGAGTCAGATTTGGGTGGTTGGATGGGTCGGCTACTAAATTCCTTGTCGAAGTGTAGCCTGCAGCTGCAGCTGTTGTGCTATTGTTGTGTGTACCAATGCATGGCTAAAGCTGTATGTTACACAGCGTGGAACGAGGAATGGTCGTCGATGGATCGATAGATGGTGAGTGATCCTTTTTCCCAGACAACTCATCTGGCATCTCTCTGGGGATTATGCCAAACAATCTTGTAGGAGACAGCAAGCTGGAGAGGTGCCTTGAACTCATTGTTTTGAACCAATGTGGGGGCACTAAAATCCCCTGCTGCTGCTCTCACAGCTCTATTAGGTTGGTCTTAGATTATTATTGTTTTTGCTTCAATTACTATTATTAAAATCTCTCTGTGGTAGTAGTAGCGCGAGTAGTATATTTGAGGACTGCTGTCTGTTTTGGTTTTGAGGGAGTTGAGTTGTTATATCATCTTTTGCTGTTTCTGCTTTCTGGATCATATATTTTTATGCTATGTTATCGTACTATATGGATTGTAATCGATGAATACTTGAGAGAGACACAGACAATCCACTGCTGGGTTGAATCTCACTTTCTATTATGAAAGAATGATGTTTGTTGACGATTGTGTTGGCCTGCCAAAGCCGGAAGAAGTCGTCCTGTGGCACGCAGAGGTTCAGTTGTTTGCTCAATGCCATACCCTTTGTGGATAGTTCATCTACAAAGCAGGAGTTGGTTGTGGGAGGAGTTACGGTGCTAATTGTACAATAGTTAGCACCGTCCTAATCAAGGGGAAAACTACTACTAGTTTGAATTAGTAGTGATTTAGTGTAGATGTTGTATTGATTTTATAATAATCCGTAGTGATTTCGTTATTTTTAGTAGCGTTTTTTTGCTAGTTATCACGGTGCTAACCCCTATAAGAGTTAGCACCTAATCCCATCCGTTGTTTGTTGTTATGTCTTCAGACAACTGGTTTTTCAGTTTTGGTAGCTGAACTATCCAAAACTGAAAAAGTAAACAAGTTTTCTCGTTTCGATTGTCAAATTTATGACATGAAAACAGAATACGAAAATGAAAGTGCTTATCAGAGGGTCCAACTCCAACCATAAACCTAATAGGCTGTTACTGTTATTTTTCCTTGTTGTCCAGTGCAAAACAGGGAGCATAAGCAATGAGGAAAAGGGTAGACAAACAGTATGACACTGAGACAGGCCAAACTAACAATCAGCACTTTCTATATCCTTTTCCTGGAGGGGAGGTGAAGAAAAAGGGAGAAATTGTGATAAAGAAAGACAAGTCAAAAGGGTGGGGAGCCCTCAGCAGTCAGCCCTGTGAGGTTGGAGGTGGGTTTCTACTAGGGCGGGAGGTTCGGTTATCGGTTATCGGTTAACCGGCCGGTTAAACCGATAACCGAAAATTATATGCTTCGGTCGTGGTCGGAGCTCCTAATAGGTAATTTGGTTAACCGAGTAATCGAAAACCGGTTATTCGGTTAACCGAAAATAACCGATCGACCACCCCCCCTTACCAAAACAATGTGAAAATACCCGGTATGTAGTTTATAATTTTATGTTGTTGAATTTGAGACATTAATTTGGTGATTTAGATGTAAAAATGTAAGTTAGAACCTTTCATTTTAAGAAATTCTAATAATTTTACCCGGTTAAAACCGGATCACCATCATTTTTTCGGTTATCTCAGTTAACCGACCAACTAACCGATAACCGACCGGTCGGTTATTGGTTAACCGAGGCATTGGCGTCGGTCGGTGTTCGGTAGGGGGAGATGGTGGTTCGGTTAACCGGTAACCGATCAATCGGTTATCGGTTATAACCGAACCGAACCGAATCCACCCCTAGTTCCTACTTCCTCAAAATAGGAAAGAATATGTATTCAGCAGCGCAACTATAAATGAAAAGCAGCCTCAAGAAGAACAATCCACATAAATTGGTGGGGTTACAGACACATTTGGTCACTAACATTACTAAATTGGGACATGTTTAGTCACTAAAAAAAGTTAATATCAAATTTTGTCACTATAATTACTAAAACAGGACACATTTAGTCACTCGCCGTTAGTTGCCGTCCAACTCCGTTAAAAGAGTCCGTTATGTGCTAACATGGCTAACAGAATCGCCTAGTCAGCATTGTTTTGGACCAAATATATTCAAACCCGACCAGCCACATCACTAAACCCGCCACGTCATTGTTCCAACCCAATCCACTAACCCAACTGGACCCATAACCAAACCCGACCCTATTCTCCATCTCTACCACGTCTCTCCACTTCTCCCCATTCCATTTCACATCGCCGGCAAATCCGCCCCTTCCGTTTCACTCCACCGAGCTCACCACATCCTCTCCTTCGACCATCAATCCACTACCTTCACCGAACAAGAACCCAAAGAACAAGCTTCTTCTTCCCCCATCAAGCTCAACGTCTCCCCCCATCATCCCTCGACGTCCTCTCAAGATGATCGGTCGTCAGATCCAACCACCCGGACTACAAACCTCTCACCTCTGCTAGGCTCCGCCGCGACTCTGCCCCGTCGATCTCCGCCAAGCTCCTCCTCTCTTACTCCGACCTCACCCCTCTACTCGATTCTGACTCCCCCCATTTCCTTTCTCAGTCCGATTTATCGACTTCCGTCACATCCGGGCAAACCAGGGCAGCGGGGAGTACTTCTCCCGGGCCTGGCTAAGCAAACAGACCTGATCTTCAACCGGCCTTCCTCCTCCTACTCCCTGCTCTTCTGCAGCTCACCGGAGTGTGCCACCCTCGACGTCTCATCCTGCCGCTCCGGTCAGTGCCTCTACCAGGACAATTACAGGAGACGGGAAACTGACGTCAGCGCGATGGGGGAATCGATTTAGAGGTTTCGTCCACTGCTGTGATGGGGGAAGCGCGAAGAAGAAGAAGAAGTACAGAGCGGATTCGCAGCTGGATCTTAGGGTTTCTTTGTCTGCTGCGATGGGGGAACTGAAGCCGGCGCGCGACGAAGAAGAAGTCGACTTCGACGAAGGATCTGGGACAAGGGGGTCAAGGGGTAGAGTCGCTGGCTCCATCTCTCTCTGCTCTCTGATGTGTTCTATCGAAAATGGTAGATGAAATTGAATGAGCAGAGCTTCGGGAGGAAGGAGAAGGGTTTCGGGTCTGAAAATGTCACTAACCCGAATGATTTTCCAATTTTGTTTTGTTAACTGGATCGGCTTTGGTTCTGGGTCGGGTTGGGTTTAATACGTGGCTGGTTTAGTGACGTGGCAGGTCGGGTTTGATCATTTCCGGCCCAAAACAGCGCTGACTAGGCGCTCACGTTAGCCACGTCAGCACATAACGGACTCTTTTAACGGAGTTGGGCGGCAACTAACGGCGAGTGACTAAATGTGTCCAATTTTAGTAATTGTAGTGACCAAATTTGATATTAACTTTTTACAGTGACTAAACATGTCCCGATTTAGTAATCTCAGTGACCAAATGTGTCTTTAACCCTAAATTGGTGCTAGGCTTCTTTTCTTTTTGTCCTTACATGCACCAAGCACTGGAAAGTGCCCTACAGATACGTTTGGGTTCGACATAGGGATGGAAGTTTGGTATAGGTATTTGGAATATTCCCAATATCGTATCGAATTTATCATTATTTGGTATTATCGAATACCGGCTTATTTTTTAGGGATTGGGATCTGGATTCATTTTGGAGTGCTATTCGGTATTAGAGATTACAAGATTGAGATCGGTATACTGAAATACCGAGAAATACCGAAATTTAAAAATTAATCAAATATAACATACAACCTTTGGTCATTCCTCACTCTTTCACAACTTAGAAGCCCCTATCCAACTCAATTTTGACTTTACAATTTAAGTCACTCTCGTCTCTCACCTAATCTATTATAATTTTCATAATACCAAAAGGCAAACACTAATATTAGTCGTCTCTCAGCCTCCAATTCGTCATATTAAAGATTACCAATGACAAGAATTTGAGATGTCACCTCTCCTCCATTTTTCTTATCCATATCCAAACTCTAGGCAAACTCAAGACTCTTTGCTTAGTCTCTTTTCCCTAAATTAAACAATTAAATCTAATTTATATATTTAATTATTAATTACCAATATAATTAACTTCGTGTTCAATAATACCAATTGGGATACCGAAATATTTAGGGATTGAGATTGGGATACCGAAATTATTTAGAGATTGAGATTGGGATTGATTTTAGGGTGTATTTCGGCATTCGGGATTTCGATACATGGTATTGGGAAACCGATATCGTACCGATTTCCACCCCTAGTTCGACATAAATAAACATAGCCAGCACCAGACTCTAAGGGGATTTTTCCAATAATAGCACCTTTAAAAAAATAAATTACAAAACTAGCACCCATATAAAAAAAATTACAAAACTAGCACCAATTTTTTTGGAACGCACCCCTAAGATGCGTTTTAAAGGTAAAGCGCACCGGAAAGATGCGTTCTACATATAAAACGCATCAGAGGGGTGCGTTCCACATAACAAATCGCAACAGGTCCGTGCGATTTAGTGCTGCTGCGGAACGGTCTTCAAGATCGTTGGATGGAGGGACGATCGGGCGGCTCAACGCTTGCCAGCGGAGCGATCCGCGTCGAGGATTCCAGATCGCTTGCCAGCGGAGCAATCCACGCCTAGGGAAGCGCAAATCGCATTGGAAGGGAGCGATCCGCGCGTGGGCAAAATTATCCGATCGCCCCTGGAGGGTGCGATCTGATGGGTATAAATACCCCCCCCCCCCTTCCCCTCTCATTTCTTCACACCGCAACCCATTCTTCCTTCTCTCTCTACAATTTATCTCTCTAAACCCTCGCCCTCCCAAAAGCCTAGGAAATAGTGGTCTGTTGGTTGCGGCTAAGTCCGATCTGCCATCAGAAAACATTTCTTAGGTTTTTTCCTCAAAACCCGCTGAGCCGAGCCGAAGCTCTGTCCGAATTGCGCCGAAAAAATGGCCGATTGGTGGCAAGGAGAAGGAGTTTATGTTGATGAATTTCAAGCGGTACGTACTCATTATTCTGGTTTAATTTTTGTTGTTGTTATAAGCTTTTTAATTAATCTATGTACTAACCTCGTTGTTATTTTCTCGTAGGTTGGGGAGGACGTGGATATATACAACTAACGGTATTATCTCGAGCAAGCACCGTTGGATCCAACCGACTTGTACGACCAACCCAACCATCGGTCAAGGGATGTTTGGAACGCTCACCCGGTACATACAATTCTTTACCATTTGTCCTTCTTTTATTTTGTTAATGTATTTAGTGGAATATAAAATAAATTTATGTTGCATTTTTAATCGTGTTGGTTGTTTTCAATAATTTAATCGAATACATAGCGCCACTTACTTCGACTCTTTATAAAGAGATGCACGTCTAAGGAAATGGGGTTTTAAGCGATTATCATATCCTCCCATTCCCTGGGAAAATCGGATATTAAGAGATCCTCGGATCCCCCCTTTTTCTGTCAAAAAGACTGCGTTTCTAAGAAGATGTATACCTCTTCTAAGAGTCTAACGAGTGTTGCTTTGTATTCGATTAAATTATTTAAAACAACTAACACGATTAAATAATTTACCAAACAACCCTTACGATTTATTTTGATGTGTACAAAAGGAATTTTATTAATTTCAAACATTTGAATATGTATGTTTCTCTTTAAATTATGATTCATTAACAATGTCATTTAATTTAGTTAATTTAGTATGTTTATTTTACGATAATATGTATGTATCTCTTTAAATTATTATTCATTTAGAATGTTATTATGTTAATTAATTTAGAATGTTTGTTTTATGATAATATGTATGTATCTCTTTAAATTATTATTAATTTAGAATGCTATTATGTTAATTATATGAAATGTCTTTTTATGATAATAAAATTCTGCTTGAAGTTAAATAATTTAATTTAATTAATTTAGTTATAAGGAATAAACTCTTACTAATATATAATAATTAACGTGTAAATTTTCCCTAGGAGGCACACACAATAATCCGCTACAGGGGTACGACCAATGTCCTCCCATTCCACCCAGCTATCTTGCCCTTTCTCAAAAGGGCACGGTTGGACCCGATTAGGCATTTTAACGGCATCAAAGTTGATCGCCAACTCATCACCGCCCTAGTTGAGAGATGGAGAAAGGAGACCCATTGTTTCAACTTTAGATATCCGCCCATGCCCGCACCCCCGCCACCTCCGGTACAAGTTGATGTCCCCGATCCCCCACCACCATACGAGAGGAAGCCAAGCAAGAGGGTCCGAGAAAGGCCCAACGTGCCCGAAGTCACGCCATATCCCGAGTGGAAACTGCCGCCCCCATTGGTTGCTCCCCAAGGTGTCGGCCCGAGATCCCCCCAAGGTGGCGACCCGAGTTCTCCCCAAGGTGGCGGCCCGAGTTCTCCTCAAGGTGCCGGCCCGAGTTCCACCCAAACTCCCCACCAAGGCTCGTACTACGATCCCCGCTCGACCTACCATCAAACCCCTCCGAGTCCCACCCCGATCTCATACAACGATCCCCGCCATGGAGCATACTACGATTACCGCCCGATCTACCCCCCATCTCCCCACCAAGGAGGTTACTACGATTACCGCCCGGTCTACCCCCCATCTCCCGCCATACATCATCGGGTACTTGGCATGATGGTTCCTCCACGACGGCCCACCACGATTTTACGCCATGGACTCGCCATCATCAGCAGTGGCCTCCTACTCCTCACTGTACTTCCGTGGATGTCCCCCGCTCGACCCCGGAAGTGCCGATTCCCCGCCGACACAGCACCGACGAGCGTCAAACTACCTCGGCCCGAGTTTGAAACTTGCCACCGCAACCACCTGTTGTTACTCCCGTCGGTCGTCGTACAAGGAGCAAGAAAACCGTGGGTTCCGGTGAAGCTCGTGGACTTCCTTGAGTTATATTTGAGAGTTGAATTTAATTTCTATGTAATTTGAACTATTCCTATTATCTTAGTTTATCGAATTGATTGTTGTTTCAATTTGGTTTTATTTCTATCCCCTTGGAACTATGCCTTTTATCTTTATATAATCCCAATTAGTTCAATCAACAATACAGTGGAGAGAAGAGATTGGATTGAAAATTCTGGGTTCTAACCCAAATTCGAGCCAATGAACGATAAAAGCAACAATACACAATAAACATTTCGTTCAATCAACAATACACAATTACTTGCAAAGTAAGAGTCTCAACTAGCTTGAAAAAAAATGATAAAAGCAAACTATGTCGCATTAGCTGAGTCCGGCGCATCAGGACCCGGATTTTGTGGACCAATCGGGCCTGGACATCTTCGTTTATCATGTCCTGGAACTTTGCATATTGAACATCGTCTTGGGCCTCGTGGTGGTCTTCCACTTTGATCCATTTCGTTCTGAATTCTCTTTTTCCTCGGGCGACCCAGTTCACGCCTCTGTCCGAACGGCGGGATGATCAATTTTCCTTCATACATCGGCCAATAAACTTCATCAGGCAATGCACGGAAACTCCGTCCATAGGTGTTTTTGAGTGAGTCGATATTGAAGAACGGACTAACGAAGTGACGGGGTCTTTGCTCCTGTTTTTAATTACGGCCATTGCATGAGAACAAGGCCACCCTCTCCCTTGATACTTCTGGCATGAGCACTCACCAACTTTTGTCCTAAAATTGACCAAAACTTCATGGCGGTGGCCCCCCCGTCTATCGTCCTCCCGATGCCCGGTCGTCACGCTATACTCGCCATTTGCCCGATTCATAATGGTTACACTATGTCGACTGCTCTTGCGATTGTCATTCTCCCGATGCCCGGTCGTCACGCTATACTCGCCATTTGCCCGATTCATAACGGTTACACTATGTCGACTGCTCTTGCGATTGTCATTCTCCATTACTTCCATGACTTTATAGGCATGGACCTTACCCTGTGCCTCGTTCGTCCTTTCCCAGTGGAGTCGGTTGACGAACCATGCATTCGTTTTCCAAAAAGTCATCTCCACAATGGTAGAGATTGGCAGTGCACGAACGGCCTTGTAGATAGAGTTGATACTCTCACCTGAGTTCGTTGTGGCAATACCCCATCTTGTCCCTCCATCTTTATGAAATGTCCACATGGATAGGTCATATCCATCCAGCCACTGTGCCCCTTCAGGGCATAACTCGCGCAACTTCTGCATCTTCTCCAGAAATTTTTTCTCTTGGTAGGCAACCGCTGAGGAAGACACAGAAAAGTAGTATGTTAGTCAATTTTCGGCAATTTAGTACAAATTCGAACAGCCCGGAGTTACTCTCGTTAGACTCTTAGGAGAGGTATACATCTCCTTAGAAACACAGCTTGTTTGACAAAAAAAGGGAGGATCTGAAGATCGCTTAAAACCCGATTTTCCCAGGAAATGGGAGGATCATGATAATCGCTTAAAACCCCATTTCCTTAGGCATGCATCACTTTAGAAAGAGTCTAACCAGTGCACCACTCGCCAAATGTACTAAGATATTGTAATTGGAACTAAATTATACGGCTAATTACAAACTTACCAATCCACCACAAATTATCAGCAAGCTTCTTCCGCTTGAAATGATGGTTCCAGTTGCTCTTGAAGTGTCGTATGCACCACCTTTGGGACCACTTCCAGGCTGGATCTAAACCTAAGATGGCAGCTCTAATGGCAGCGTGCCGATCAGAGATTATTGTCAGGTTCGTCCTCCTAGTACAATGGAGCTGAATTTGCCGGAAAAACCATCCATAGCTATCAGCATTCTCTCCCTCAACGATGGAGAAGGCTAAAGGAAAGACTTGTCTGTTTGCATCCGCCCCACTGGCAATCAGGAGAGTGCCCTTGTACTTACCGGTAAGGAATGTTCCATCCACTTGGATGACAGGGACACAGAAGCCAAAACCATCAATACATGGCTTGAATGCCCAAAAAAGTCGTCTGAAATGGCGCTTGTTACCTGGCTCTGGGGGTTGTATCTCTTCATCTTGGTATCGAGGGGAGAAAACCGTGCCAGGGTTAGACGCCTCCAATGCCAAAATTAACCTGGGAAGGAATGCATATGATTCTTCCCAATCACCAAAGACGGCGGCCAGAGCTTTCTGCTTTCCATGCCACGCCTTCTTATAGTTAATCATATAACCATAACGACTTGCAATGTCAGCGATTATGACTTTCACCTTTAGGTCTGGCTATTGCTCAATTAGATGCTTGATAGCCGTAGCAACCACCCTGGATTTCAACTGTCGATGGCCTTGGGAAGTTATGGATGACACACATGTGTGTGTGTTCACCGCACGAGATATGACCCAGTGGCCGTGTCTCTTGCTGTTGATGGCCCGAATCCTAACATAACACCCCTCGTAATGATTACGGCATCTGACTATGAGCCTTTTAGTGTTGGAATGAGTTGTGTGCCATTCAAAATGTCGAGTCATTGCTTCTGTCTTAATGGCGTGACGCACCTCCTTCTTCGAGCTAAATTGTTGGCCCTTCATAAACCTAGTGAGTGGACCCCATATTGAGACCTCTGGCGGCTCCATGTCGCTGTCGACCATCCAATTGTCGTCTGGAATGTGATTGTAGTAGGGGACTGGTACACGGTCACGAGCCCCCTCATCATCATTAGCTGAGTCTAACTCTGGTCCTGAATCATCGGCACCTTCAAGAGGGTCGGAGCTGTCTGCACTGACGTTGTTCTCTCCTTCTTCATCGGAGGGGTCACTGACTGGTGCTGGCATGACATCCTCCATCTGATCCAGCTCATGAAAGGCACCTTCATCAGATCCATAATGGTAGTTGTGAAAACTACCGCTGCCTGAGTGGAAGTTGTACTGAGGTTGGTTGGGCCGGTCCGGTTGAACTTCTTCTTCATATGATTGATGATGACCTTCACCTTGCTCTTGGTACTGAAAATATGAATGAGGATCATGGTAACTTTGGTAGGAATGATCGCCATATAATTCACCTCCACCATGGATACCAGATGTTTGACCGTGTCCAGAATGACCTCCAACGCCTACGACCGGCTCGGTGTAAACGAACATCTCGGCTTTGGAAAGATTGTTGGACCTCATGAATTCGAGCATGGCGTCTACCTCATCCTGAGTGGTTATGAGATATTCCTCATGCCACAATGACCCACTTTCTCTGTTTGGATATCGGTACACCATACGATCAACTCTTCTCGTGCCATCCATGCAAGTAACGTTAGTGCACATTTGATGGAGGTCTTCAAGCAGCGGTCTGGTAGCGACCTTTATCTTCTGAAAATTGCCACCTACATAGGTGACCCCCTTTCCGGTCTCTTCCGTGTAACCATTCCACCGTAAGCCAAGCGTGAACTTTTGGAATGCCATCTGCGATAAAACCGTAGTTCAGTTAATATCATAAAAATAAAAAATAACAATAAAAAGTAATACTAAATCAACTTACGAGTTAACGTTAACCGCAAAACTACTAAAGAAATATAGAGCTACAACAGAAACCGCTTAAAGGGAGAGGTGTGAAGAGAAGTCGTTGTCTGGGAGGCCTTTTATAGGCAAAATCACTGATAAAAACCGCACCTTAGAGGTGCGGTTTTTGTCTGCCATGCAGGCCCATGCAGACCCACGTCTGCTATGTCTGCATGGCATGTCGGTAATTGATTGACCCAAACCGCACCTTCAAGGTGCGGTTTGTATGGCAAAATCGCACTGTTAGGATGCGGTTTTATTTGGGAGAAACAAACCGCATCTTTATGATGCGGTTTTAATAGGTCAGACCTAAAACCATACCTCGGCCAAGCGGTTTCAGTAGGTCAGACCTAAAACCGCTTGGCCAAAATGCGATTTGAGTCCAGAAAATTGGAACGCACCTTACTAGTGCGGTCTATTTGTAAAACGCACCCGTAGGGTGCGATTTAAATATAAAACGCATCTACAAGGTGCGTTCTATTAAAAAGGGTGCTATTAGTGTAAATTTTTACGGATGTGTGCTATTTTTGTAATTATTTTTTTTTAAGGTGCTATTTCTGGAAAAATCCCGGCTCTAAGTAGATCATTTCATAATGAGACAAAACTCGAAACATATTCGACTCGATTTCATCCAAACCAGTTGTTCGCTTGTAATAGGTCTAATTAGAGCACACTCTTTAGACATTGTAGCTTTGTATAATTTGAGCCCTGCCGATGTGTTCAATTCGACATACATAAACATAGGCAATAGCATACGCTCACCAGGTCAAATCATAATGAGACGGAACTCAAAATGGATCTGATCCGATTTCATCCAAATTGGTTGTTTGCTTGTAACTGGTGTATTAGAGCATACTCATGGACATTCAAGCTTTTTATCTCAGTAGGATTGAGTTTGTTTCAAGTCGAGGAAGAGGTAGTTGCTCGAGTTGTCTTCTTGAGCAAGGAAATTTTTTTGGGTGTTCGTTGGAGAAGTCTCAGGCGGTATTCCCTCAATATGGAACATGGTTGGCAGTGCTTTTGTAGGCTTCATAGTGTTAGCGTCGACTACAAGGATAACAATCGCACATCGAGTTGGAGATGACTCGATTGACACATCCGAGTATTAGTGATTGCAATTTCAACCCGTCCCGCGGGTATTACCCGACCTGATCCGCGATGGGGCGGGTATTACTCGATCCGCGATGGGGCGGGTATTACCCGACCCGCAGTAGTGTGGGGCGGGGTATGGGTATCTACTTCTGACCCGCCCTGCCCCGCCCCGTTCTAGACTCATTTTCTCTCAATTTCTTACAATTTCTATACATATTTCTCCTATTTTGATTTTTCTTCAACTAGTTAGAGTCGCTATTTCAACTTGTTAGACTCAATTACCCATTCTATTATCACTATTTTTCATTCTTAAATTGTTTTACCCTTCGTTTTATCGTAAAAAGTAAAATTTACTTGTATTTTTTTCGAATAACATGTAAGAGTGGGTCGACCCGCCCCGTACCCGCGCGGGTTTTATCCGCCCCGCCCCATAGTAGCGTGGGGCGGGGCATGGGAATTGAGGTACCCGCCCCGCCCCATTGCCATCACTACCGAGTATGCGGTGACTTGCCACATTGCATGCCTCCTTCTATACAATGACAACCCTTTATATATGTTAGCATCACACTACTGCCACATATGTCATCTCCCAGAGGTAGGCTTCATGACGCCTCTTTAAGGTTGGCGATACACTCTCAATCGTATCACCTTTCGAGCTAGATAACACCTTTATTTTAAGCTTGGTGTACCCTCAACATGAAGGGTGTAGCGCCAGAATTACCTCCCCCACCCTCACCAAGAGTGTAGTATCGACTCGTGTAGTGTCGTACTATAGGAGATACAAAAGTTATGCCTTGAGCAACGTGAGAGATCATGAGGAAACCAACTCCAAGCTTAAACCAAGGGTTACCTATCTCGAGAGGGGACATAGCCAAGGGTGTATCGCCAAAATTAAAGAGGTGGCATGAAATCTGCTTCTGACCAGACTTGGGAGATGACATAGGTGGTGGTAGCGGTCTGTTATTTATTTTTTAGTAGGAACGATAGTATATTTGAACTCGGTTGATTGATATTTTTTTTGTTGAACTTGTTAGTAAGTATTATGCGATTTCATTAGTACAACACCTACTAGTTTGAAGACGCTTTTCGATGGACAAGCTTTCCCCTTCTCGCCTAGCGTTTTTTGGATTGATTTTTATCATCTAATGATCGAGAAGGGTTTTGATACCTGAAATAATAGAAAATTGCGCCTACAATTTTGAAAATTAAATTTGAATTGACTATGCCAACTTACACAGTACTAGACTTATGAAAAAGTGTTGTATGCATACTTGTATTGTTGGATAATCTTGGGCGCTTACAATTGATGGGTTAAGCTAATGGTAATATTTAATATTAAGCCACCAACATAGATCAAACGGTCATAAACATATAAAGATAATCCACGATAGATATAGAAATAATTTTTCTATCTATAAAGTAATTGAAAATGGAAAATTAAACTATCCTTTTATTCAAAATTAGTTTACTACTATAGTTCTCAAATGAACAAGGAATTCACTGTATTAAACTTTTGTTATTTATTAGTTTTTTTTTTAATTAATTATTTATTATGGATTTAAACTATTAGAAAAGATTTATTCTACTAAAAGAAAAGAAAATAAATTTTCTCTATGCGTACACACTACACAGACAAAGCAAAAGCAATGCCCCTATCTCCCTTGTCCAGCTCCAGCCTTTTCTTCTAAGATTTGATTTCTAATTATTTAATTATTTAAAAAAAACAGGAAAGTTTAAATTGATATTTTGGAGTGAAAATATATATATCCTTTCTCTTTGATGGATACACATTTTTAGGTCTCTCTCATATTCTTTCTCTTTCTCTTTCTCTTTCTCTCATCGTCCCCTCTCTCTCCCCAATCTCTATCCCTCTCTCATATTTTTTTCCCTCTGCGCAGTTTCATTCTCTCTCCTCTCTCTTCCTTTCTCTCTCCAGCAGAAAGGGCAAAAAAACCCTAAAGAGCCGTTTGCACCCATCCAGCAGTAAGTTTCTCTCACCTTACCCATCGTCTCTTTCTCTTTCCGTCTCTTCTATCTATTCTCTTTCTTAAATTGTTTTTTTTGAATACAATGGGTCCTGTACTATTGAACGACCTGCCTTTTATATTCAGCGCTTTGTGTGTGTGTAAACATCTGATTCAGGGAGTTCCATTTTCGGCCTTCTCGTCCCGTTTTCCTCCCGGATCTACCCTGATTTTTGAAAACCCTAGATTGCGAGGAGGCGGCGCTTAGATATGCTCCGCGGGAATGTGAATGCGATGTAGATCTGGTGATTCGGGTTTCCATTTTAAGGGGATGTGAAAAGTTTTGTTTTTGTTTGGGTTCTGTCTGGATTTCGAAAAAAATGGAATTGAATCTCGCGCTAAAGGTTTTCGTTTTCGATTCGGGGGTGGTTTTCTTTTGGTGTAATGTTGTTTCCCCTGCGAATCTCTCTAATGGGTACTGCTCTGAAGTTTACGATTTGGATCTGAGCGAAATGTAGTACGATATGGGGGTTTTGGGAGTAGGCATTTGGTGCTGAAAGGTTCGATGTGGATATGGGTTGCTTAGAATCGACGGGATCTGAGGTGGGTTGTGAGTTACATGGATAAATCAGGTGTCTTTCTAGTTGAATCTTGTGTTTTGGGCTAGCATCTAAGACATTTATTGTAGTGCAGTTGATTTTATTGATGTGCAGTTCCACTTCTGTTGAATGTTGATTTTTTGTTGGCATTGTATTTATGCAGCTGTGAATGATGGATGATGATGCACTGAACATGCGGAATTGGGGCGGCTACTATGAACCCTCGTTCAGAGGGCATCTCAGTCTGCAGCTCACTACGAGCATGGCGGCTGAACGAGACACCAAGCATTTTCTCCCCGGCCGAGATCCAAACAGCATTATGCTCAATGTGAATGCTGGTGGAGGAGGCTACCATCATCGCGAGTTCATGGTGTCTGATCCCCATGTTCCCATGAACTACATGAGGGACACTTGGATGAATCAGAGGGATACTAAGTTCCCAACTTTGATGTCACACAACCCTAATAACAGCTACCCTGTTCTTCCAGAGAGTTCAGCAGCTCATTCTCTGCAAGCACTACCCCCGCCTAGAGATGACAAAATGTGCAGAATGGAAGAGCCAGTTATCCTCAAAGAACCGGAGCAGCCAACAAAGAAGAGGCAGGGAAGTGGTGTCCAGAAAACCCCCAAGGCAAAGAAACCGAGGAAGCCGAAGGACCCCAACAGTAACCCTGCCCAGCGTGCAAAGCCTGTCAAGAAGAGCATGGATATGGTTATAAATGGGATCGATATGGACATATCTGGCATTCCTATTCCGGTTTGTTCATGCACGGGGGCTCCTCAGCAATGTTACAGATGGGGGTGTGGCGGATGGCAGTCTGCTTGTTGTACTACTAATGTATCAATGTATCCTTTGCCAATGAGCACCAAGAGACGGGGTGCAAGGATCGCTGGGAGGAAAATGAGCCAGGGCGCATTCAAGAAGGTGTTGGAGAAACTTGCAGCTGAAGGCTATAACTTCAGCAACGCCATTGATTTGAAGAGTCACTGGGCGAAACATGGTACCAACAAGTTTGTTACTATTAGGTAGAAGTTTGCAGAGGGTGCGGGAATGAGTAGCGAACTGACTCCAACAAACAACAACAACAACAACAACCATCGGTTCTGGGTTTCTGGTTCTCCTTGTATGTATATCTGTGGCCTTCTGCAGAGATCTTTTGGAGGTTCATTGTACTTCCATGAGTTTTTCCCAGACGTGATACTTGGTTCTTCTTTTGTTTCAGCTAATTTGGAACATTTGTTCTCTCCAGAATTGTTGTCATTTTCATTCCTTTTTGCCGTTCGTTCGTTATTAACTGTTGTTAGTAATTTCTTTCAAGCAGGGATTGTAAGGTTATGAATGAGATTATCAATTTGTTCTTTTTCATTCATTATCTTTTGTTCGTCTTTTGCCTTCAGTGACTGATGCTCTCTGAGTATACGAGGTTGAATGGTACTTTGTAAGGAACTGTAACCAAACAGCTAGGATTGCGAAGTCGTATTCGAGATTGAACCAGCTAGTGTAGGATTGCTAAGTTGTATCCGAGATTGAACCGGAAAACTCAGTAGTAGGATAATAATGGTGAAATCGTGATTTAATCATTGTTTTTTTTTGTTTTAATTGAGACTAAACCGAAAAACTCAGTAATAGGATAATTGTGGTGAAATCGTGATTTAATTATGGTACCTATCTCGAGAGGGGACATACACCACCTAAATCTGCTTATTGGTTTACCCTTCAATAAGAGATTTTCTCAATTTATGAACACGGATTACGGAAATAGAGACCATGAGGGTAATTTCTTACACTATGTTTGGAAAGAGGTGCAAATGGGAGGGGTAAACACAGTTTCCAACACATTTGCACCCGTTTTGATAATTTTTAATAGTCGGTGAGTGCAAAACGGGGTGCAAAATTACTATTTCGGCTTACCCCGAATTGGGGTGCAAGGGAAGGAAGGAAGAAGGGGGAAGGGAGAGATGAAATAAATTATTTTTCTAATATTTTTTAATTAATATTATCAATTTCTTTTCTTATGTAGATATGTTCGAGGTTGACCATTTGACTCCGAGAGCAAGTTTATCAATTTCGTCTGGTCAAACCGAGATGTATTGGTTGACTCGAATTTGTGTTGGAAATTAGAGATAAGAAGTGCTTATTGAAAAGGCAGTGAGGAACGGTTTGGTTGACTCAATTTAGTTGATTATATAGTTAAAACTTACAGATTCGAACGCGTTTGACTAAGTTTGACCATATTCAATTTAAAGTTAAATTATATACGAGAACGATGTAGGATGAAAAGTTACGAGTGTGACTCCGAGTTTTGAGATTGCTCGATCAATAATTATTACAGTTGTTATTTATGTTATTATATAATATAATATTATTTGAGTATTATTATATAATAAGTATTTTATTAAATTATATTTATTATTTTCTGATAATAATTTATAATTTTAATAAATCAATTTTATAATAATATAATTATTCATTTCTCGCTCTATTTACACTCCCTTACTTTTTCATCAAAATAATAATTTACCCTTCCACTTGCAACCTCCTTCAATTTGCACCCTACTGCAATTTACCCTTCAACTTGTACCTCGAATTTGCATCTCACTTATTGCGAAACATGGTATTAAATTCTACTTTCCCTACTTTTCAACAATACAACGTTAGTCACTAACCACCATGGGGAGCCCAACCAATGACTCTCCATCTACTCAGCTCAGGGGAGCCCAATCACTCAATTCTTCACCGCCAAGCAATCACAATTTGGTGATTCACTGTGATGGGTCGTTCTTAAACGACTCCCAGCCGGCGGCATATGGTGTGGTAGTCACTAACCACCATGGTCAAGTGTGTGATGGGCGAGCTGACACTCTACTTTGTTCCACCCCACTCGAAGCCGAAGCGAAAGCCCTTTTGGAAGGTCTCAAATTAGCCCAAGAATATGGCACTGAATGTGTTGTCCAGTCAGACTGTCAGCAGATTGTCAAAGCTCTCTCGGACGAGCCAAGAAACTGGCCTTGGAGAGGTGCAGCCTGGATTGGATCAATGGTCTCAATCTTAAGAACAAACTCTCAAGTGAAGGTCAAGGCAGTTTCACGTGCTTTCAGTGTTAGAGCTGATTGGGTTGCACGATCTCTAGCTAGATCCTCCCTCTCTGTTGACTGGATTAATATTCTTGATCTAATTTCGGATTTCCTTTGATAGTGTGTATTCTCGCTTTTCTCGAATTGGAAGTGAAATAAAAGTGGATCCTTATTGTAAAAAAAAAAAAAACAATACAACGTTAGCTAGGATAAAACGGACTCGTCACAGTGTGCCAGCGTACTCTCAGAGCGTTCCTCCTCTCCGCCCTGATTCTCTCACTCGTTTGCATGAATCTGTTCTTCTGTTGAAATCCTCTCTCCAAATCTTTCCCCCAGTCTCTCTCTCGCTCTACTTGGTTCTACTGCTCGCGGAAATGGACAAGGGCAAAGGAATCGCCACCTCCGGCAAGCGGAAGAAAGGCGGGGGCGACGATGACAAGACCGGCAGCGGGATCAAGAAGAGGAACCGCCAGGTCCTTCAGTTCTTCGAGGACGCAGCTGATGTCGACGATGATGATGATACCGACTTGAGCGATTTGAATGATCTGAGCGATTTTGATGAGGAAGGTGAATGGACTTCCTTCTTTCTCTTTGGTATTGACCAAATGTGTGTTGCTCAATGCTCTGTGTATTTTTTTTCGTCTTGGGGAAATGGTGTTCGTCTCTACTCTCTGGGGTTTGTTGGTCAGCAACGGTTTGTGCTTCCCTTTCTTTTTCGCTGTAATTATATTTTAGGGTTCTCAGCGTTACGTCGTTGGGGGAAATGGAGTTGCGGAAGTTAACATGGATTTCCTCCCATTGATTGAGCTTGCTGTGTGGTGAACGCATTTGAGAGCTCTGTTCTATGCAATGTGGCTTTTCGGTGCTGGATGAATCAGGTTCAGAGGAACTGCCCTAGGCTAGGAGAGTTGTTCCTTAATTTCGGATTTTCTAAGGGCTTCTTTTGATTCTTTTTGTCTGTTAAAAGTTTTCAACAATGAGCAATGCGCATGCAGCGTTATGGATGACTCCTTGGTTCTATCCTGATGATGGCTGTTGGCATCATAAGATGTTAGAATTATGTTCAAATGGACTTTAGGCTATTGTTGCTTCGGATTTTATATCTCATGTAAAAGATGTTCAATGTTAGGGGTTTGCTTACTTTTTATATTAGTGTTGGAAAAATTCCAAACGTAGGCTATGGTTGACATGCAACCTAGTTAAGCAATTTTGTTTTGTTAGGATCTTCTTCAAGTTGCTTGTGTTTGTTAGGATGATTGCATAGACCACTCAGTAATGCTTGCCTCAAGTTCTATGGTAGAAAGAATGTAATTTATCTTCTGTTGCTGTGTCTGTTCGTCTGCAGTGCTGTTATCGGTTTGTTTCCCTCGCGTGGTATTATATGATATAGGTTAATTTCATTATGCTGCATTCAGTCCATGAACATTTCTTGAGACTGACATCCTTCCGGGTTTGTTTTTGAAGAATTCGATGTAGAGTTGAAAGTAAAGAAGGAACCAGGAAAAGCGCAGAACATCCCTTTCATACCGAAGGAGGAGCAGATGGATGAGGAGGAATTTGATAAGATGATGGAGGAGCGGTACAAGGACGGTGCTGGCTTTGTGAGATATGCTGATGATCCTTTTGAGGCTAAATTGATGGAAAGAGATTCTCTTTTGGCTTTAGCTACGGATGCAACCATCTGGAAAGTTAAATGCATGGTACAAGAACATCTGTAATTCAGCTGTGGCATTTGTGATGTATGTGAAGCTCGTTTCATTTGTCATGTCTCCACTAATGTTTGGCTTGAATGTTATTGTAGATTGGGCGTGAAAGACAATCTGCTTTCTGTCTCATGCAAAAGTTCGTGGACTTGAAGTTTCTGGGTACCAAACTGGAGATAATATCCGCTTTTTCTGTTGACCACGTGAAGGGTTATATTTACATTGAAGCTGAACGACAATGTGATCTTGTTGAGGTAGTTTATCTGCTATCTTTTCATAAATTTGCTTTCTGTTCCTTTCTCCTTCACTTCCCCTTTAATCATGCATGTTTCTACTTGTCCTTTACACAGGCTTGCAACGGGCTTTCAGGAATATACACTTCCCGAGTGACGACAGTTCCAGCAAATGAAGTTTCGCATTTGATATCTGTTCGGTGCAAAAAGAGTCAAGTAACTAAGGGCATGTGGGCCCGTGTCAAGTCTGGGAATTATAAAGGAGACCTGGCGCAGGTTTTTAATTTAGTTATTATTTGCTTAAACTCCTTTCTGTAATGCCTTTCTACCCTTTTTTTCATTTGCCCTTTTGTCTTCTTGAAGATTGTTGGGGTAAATGATGAACGCAAAAGGGCCATGGTGAAGATTATACCTAGAATTGATGTGCATGCTCTGGCTGAAAAATATGTAAGTTTTATTTCTTCTGATTGTCTTTCGATTTGCTGTGTTTTCTTTGTCTTATGCAATTTCGTTGTTTATCTATGTTGATGGGTCTCCTGGGTGGCCTAGGAAAGGTTCACCTTCATCTTTTTGAGAAAGTTCTTTTGATTGCTAATGCGCAGGATTTAGTTTGTTTCTTTTCACTTCTGCTTTACCTTTAACGGTACAATTTAACTTCACAAAATCATTATTTCGTTAGTCTTACCTGACTTAATTCTTCAAAGTGAGCCTGAAAGACTTATCATTCTTCAATGAATGATATTGTCGGTGCCGGGAGAGTCTGGTCTGTAAGTAATAATCTAGTGGAAAGATATCTGAAACTTGCACTGCACAGTGGGAAAAGCTGGTTGCTAGTTAGTTTTGTTGCATTAACTGAAGGGGACTGTCCTCTCTATTGTATATAATATGTTAATATGTGACAGTAGCCTTTATGTTGGCTGCAAGATGAAGTGGGTTTTCCCCTTTTCCAATTACGGAGAAACTCTCCATCATGTGATCCTCAAGTGGTGCTATTTAATTCTACAGGGTGGTGGAAAGGCTCCTAAGCGAACTGATGTACCAGCTCCAAGGCTGATCAGCTCTAATGAACTTGAGTAATATCCTTCTCCTTGTACTCATAAGTGTCGATGTTTCTCCAATTTCATGACTTCAACTTAAAAAGTTTTTCCGTGGTTATTTGTGATAGGGAGTTCCGGCCTCTTATCCAGTACAGACGTGACCGTGACACCGGCATGATGTTTGAGATTCTTGATGGATTGATGCTTAAAGATGGGTTCCTGTACAGGAAAGTACCTTTGGATTCCTTAAACTGCTGGAGTGTGATGCCAACGAAAGAAGAGTTAATGAAGTTTGAATCCTCAGAGAAAAATGATTCTGGTAACTTAGAATGGCTTACACAGATTTATGGAGGTAAAAAGAAAAAACAAGTAATTAGGAATGAGAAAGGTGGGGAAAAGGGAGAAAGTTCGTCTGGGACTGGAGGTCAAGCAAACTTTGAGCTATATGATTTTGTGTGCTTTCGGTAAGTTCTTTACCATAAGTTTGATAGTCGGCTTGCAAATTCCCTTCTTAGTTACAAGTTTGTATTGCAGGCGCAAAGACTTTGGTATTGTTGTTGGAATGGAGAAGGATGGTAATTGCAAGGTGTGTTGTCTCTTGTCTGTTTTCTTTAACCTATCTACAAATTTGCAATCCAACTTCCAACTATATGTAGAACACGCAGCTGATTCGTGCTTTTTCTTATTCGCCACTTATATTTGTTTTTTTTTTCCAGATTCTAAAACAGGGAACAGAAGAACCGGTTGTGGTGATCGTGGAACAGAAGGAAGCAAAGATTGGGCCTTCAGAAATGAAATTTACAGCTTTTGATCAACACAAGAAGGTCATCTCACACAATGATACAGTCAGGGTCTTGGAGGGTCCATTGAAGGTTGAGTGACTAGCATTTCCTTTAGTCGTTAGATGTCATACAGAACACAGGTCATAAACGGAAATTTTACATTTGCAGGACAGGGAAGGAATTGTTAGGCAAATCTATCGAGGAATTGTCTTTATATATGATCAGAACGAGACTGAAAATGGCGGTTACTTTTGCTCAAGAGCTCAAATGTGTGAAAAAGTCAAGATTCATTCGGACAAATTCGATGATAAGGCTGTGAGTCTGAAGCCCTTGTCATTTGTTTAATGTTATGGTTTCCGTTTCCCTAGCTGATCTTGTTGGTCATTTCAGGGTGGTGAATCCAGCTTTGGGGTCTTTGGAGGTTTTGATGATGCCCCATCATCTCCAAAATCTCCCTCATCGCCTAAAACATCATTTCAAGCAAAGGAAAGTAATTGTATGTCTGCAAGCGTCAAAGTTCTAGTAATTCTATGCCTTAAATTTCAACTATTTTATGTTATCTCTTATTTTTACTGTTTTTTCCCCAGTCAACCGAGGGGACAGGGAAAATGCGTTCTCCATTGGTCAGAGCTTGAGGATCAAGGTAGGACCTCTCAAGGGCTACCTTTGCCGCGTATTGGCTGTACGCCGCTTTGATGTTACAGTGAAACTAGATTCCAAGCCGAAAGTTCTTACAAGTAACATTTTGACCTTGCACTGAGTTGTTAATAAAGCAGCAATTAGCTGTAAAACGTTGATGATCATTTTCATTTCCTCAGTTAAATGTGAGAATCTTTCCGAGGTCCGTGGGAGGAGTTATGCTGTTTTGGGCAGGTGCCGCTCTTCTTATGCCTCCCTACTGATTTATTTCACATAATATATACCTTCTTTTGACAGTTCACATGATATATACTTTGGGTTCATTTTGATGATGGTCTTTGGGGTTGTGGATTCTATTGCATAGTGAGGACGCAGGTGCTGACTCTTTGAAACCTTTTGATCCAATTGGGGCTGATGGTGGTTCTGGAGGTGAGGATACCCTGTGTAGTGAGAATATGCTTTAATGATTTCGAGATTACCCTGTGTGTGATTGCCTTTTATCTGCTTGCTGTGTAGATGAACAAATATTGCTTACCCGCTAGGCATCTTAAGGTTGTCAGTAGTAATATTGACAGTTTTAATGACCCCAAGCAATTTGATGAAGTAGCCAGAAGTAACATTTGATGCCCTAAACAAATGTCCTAGAAATTGCAGAACATATCTAACTACATTGCTCTAAACAGCTTGCATTTAATTCGTTTTTTTTTTAACTTTTGTTTTGTTTCTGGTCCCATATTACTGTATGTTATTAGATACAATTGTTGACATTGCATGTTATGGAGATTTGAGATGACTATGAGTTAATAGTCTAGTTCCTCTCGCAGGTTGGTCAAATGGGGCTGGAACATCGGGTGAAGCTGATGGATGGAATATTGGGGGGCTGTCTGCAGAGAGGTATTTTTATTGATGAATTTAATTTTTGGGCAAGGAATGCTTTAGCTATGTGTTTCCTTTGGCACCAGGTTGATTTTTCTTGAATATGTGGATTACTGATTCGGACTGAAAAGATTTATTGGCCTTTTTTATGGAAGCCTGCTTAAGAGATTGGCGTCAAAATCTTGTCATCATTTATTAAAATTACTAGTAATCCTTCTATCCACTTTATAATTTGAAGTGGAAGGTTTTCATTCTTGATCATTAGCTTTTCTGGAGCTATGAGTGTGTGTCTGTCTGAAGAACCAAGCTTGATGTCTCAATTAACATAAGGTCTTCCCCTGGTTGGCCTTGTTTTGTGCACCAAACTGGCACACTTTTGAGTTTGTGTTACATGGGTGGTAGAGTTGTGTTGCCTGTGTAGTGAAACCGGAGTTCCTATTTATCCTCCATTTCATTGCTTGCAGTTTGCCAAGTATCTGCATAAATAATGTTCTATAGTCTCTATGATATGTCTTGCGTAAACTAGATTATAGAACTTGTTTACTTGGGTACATAATCTGTCATATGGAAAATGGCTTTCATCATATCAATTTCATATTCATTTTACATTCCCTTTATAACATAATACAAAAGGCATTGTCATTATGCATTCCTTCATATGGGGATTTTTACTGCATCAGCATGGCGCTCTTCTTCTATTTTAGTTTCTCTCCAGAAATGTTTTTTTTTTCTGGAATGCTGAAGACTGCTCTTATCTTAAATTTGTGCGTTCTTTCAGGAGTGCCTGGCCCAGCTTCTCTACTCAGAAGGTTAGCCCTCTGAACTTCCTCGAAACATGGCTTATTTCGCCATGTTCCTTTTCTCTTTTCTTTCTGTAACTATGAGCCAGAGTGGTAATTTAAAAGTTATTGTGGTTGCAGCTTCCAACAGAGTCTGATTTTTCTGGTCCATCAAATTCTCAAGAGCAAGGTACTTTCCTATGGCTTTCTTTATGCAGGGGAGTTTTGGAATTAGTATATTGAGCTTCTATACAATTGTCTAGGTACAGAAGATGCTGCGTGGGAGAAGAAACCGACTGGTAATCAGAATTCTTCCTGGGGCGCAGCCACTACTGATGACAAAGCCATAACAACCAATGCTGATCAAGCTTGTGGATGGGGAAATAATAGTGATGCTTCTGTCAAAGCTTCAACTGACGTCAGTGGCAGTGGAGCGTCTGACAGCTGGGGTAAAGCACTTGAAAAGAAAGTGACTGCAAATCAGATTTCTTCATGGGGTGCAGCTGCAAGTGATGAAAAGATAATTGACAAGAGTGAAGCTTCTGGTTGGGGGAACAGTGGAGATGGCTTGGAAAGATCTACTGCTGTAATTGGTCCTAGCAGTGGAGCGTCAGATGACTGGGGTAAAGCTCTTAAATCCAGTCAAGATCCAGTTGATGCCGCTTCCACCTGGGACAAAGGGAAGAATGTTGATGGAAATCCAACCAGCAGTTGGGGTGGTGGGAGTTCCTGGGGTAAAGCAAAAGATGATGCTGGTAATGGAGGACCATTCGAAAAGAATAAGAGCTTGGATGGAGGTGATGGTGGCTGGAATGTTAAAGTTGCTGCAGCTGACAGCCTGCCCTCTGGTTGGGGCAAACAAAGCAGTTGGAGTAATCCTCAGTCTTCTCAAGGGAACTCTAATTGGAACCAGAAAACGTCTGAAGCTGGTAAAGATAAAGAGAGTAGGGAGCATGGAGAAACTTGGAAGGGTGGGGATGGAACGGCAAGCTGGGACACTAAAGCAGTTAACTCCAATGACTCCCAGCCCTCTGGGTGGGGCAGCAAAAATGGGTCGGGCAATCCTCAATCCGATCAAGATAGTGCGGGTTGGAATCAGAAAGCCTCTTACCCGGAGAAGAAAGATGTGGCGGAGCAAGGAAATGATACTAACAGTTCTGGTTGGAATGATAAAAGCAATTGGAACTCTAAATCTGGTGATGGCTCCTCTAGCCAGGGAAAGAAGAGTGATTGGAATTCTGGGTCTGCTGCTGCTGCTGGGAATGCAGGAGACTCTACATGGGGTAAAAAAGCTGAGTGGAACTCTGGCCCCAGTTCTAATGATGCCAACAAAGGTTCCAGTTGGGGGAAGACGAGCAATTCTAACTCTGCCTCTGTTGATACTGGTGGGAGTAAGAAAAATGGCTGGAATTCTGTTTCTAATGATACCAACAATCAGGGGGGTTCCAGCTGGGGAAAGACCAATTGGAATTCTGGGTCAGGTGCTGGTGGGAGTGCAGAAGACTCAGAATGGGGTAAGAAAGCTAACTGGAATAATAATTCTAATGATGCCAACGACCATGGGGGTGCCAGTTGGGGAAAGAAACCTGTTGATGCTGCATGTGGCATTGGAGAGGAAGCTGGTGGAAATGCAGGGTCCTCGTGGAGTAAAAAGGCTAGCTGGGGCGCTGGTACTAATGACAATACCAACCAAGGGGGTTCTAGTTGGGGAAAGGCCAGCAACTGGAACTCTGGATCTGTTGAGGAAGACGATGGAAATGCGGGATCCTCATGGGGTAAAAAGGCTAGCTGGGGCTCGGGTTCTAATGACACTGCCAACCAAGGGGGTTCTAGTTGGGGAAAGACGAGCAACTGGAACTCTGGTGCTGGTGATGCATCAGGTGGTGGGAACACAAACTCCTCTACTTGGGGAAATAAAAAGAGTGACTGGAATTCTGGTTCAAATGATAATGCCAACAACCAGGATTCTTCTGGATGGGGTGGCAGAAAGGTGGGAAGCTGGAACTCAGGAGCTGCCGGGGGAGACACAAACCAGGAAGATGGCAACAATAACCGTGGGAACTGGAGGGGTGGTTATGGAGGTAGAGGTGATTCGGATAGAGGGGGTAGCTTTAGAGGCAGAGGAGGGGATAGAGGAGGTTTCCGGGGTAGAGGTGAGAGAGGAGACTTTGGAGGTAGAGGGGAGAGAGGAGGTTTCAGGGGTGGTAGAGGAGGGGAAAGAGGTGGCGGTGGGTTTGGAGGTAGAGGACGAGGCAGGTTTGAGAGTGGAGGTGGTAATGGTGATTCCGAGAGTGGAGGTTTTGGGGGCAGAGGTAGAGGGAGGGGAAGGTGGGGGGATCAAGGAGGCGGTAGCAGCAGCTGGAATGATGGCAACAATTTTGGTGGTGGTGGCGGCGGAGGATGGAAAAGCAACAATGAAGCAGGAGGCGGTGGTAGGGGTTGGAACTATGGTGGAGGTGAGGATAAGAAGGAATTGAAGAGCAGTTGGGGTTCTGGAAATAAGAACGAAACAACAGGTGGTGGTGGGTGGAGTGGGAGCGAGGGCGAGGATAAGAAGGAATGGAAGAACAGCTGGGGTTCTGGAAGTAAGAACGAAACAGCAGGTGTTGCTGAGAGTGGAGGCGAGGAGAAGAAAGAATGGAAGAGCAGTTGGGGTTCTGGAAGTAAGAACGAAACAACCGATGCTAGTTGGGGTTCTGGAAGTAAGAATGAAACTGCAGGTGCTGCTGGGGGGAGTGCTCAAGGAGGAGGAGGTTCTGGTTCTGGATGGGGCCAGTGGGGAAAGGCTCAAGCTGACAACGGGGGTGGTGGCTGGAAATCGGGTGAATCATCGTCTATTTTAGGGCAGTACAAGGGTCAAGGAGGAGGATCAGAAGATGGAAATGGTCAATCCACTGTGGGTTGGGGTGGGAGTTCATCGGGTTGGGATGGCAACAAAGATGCAGCAGCTGCAGCAACTGAAGATCAAAATGATGCATGGGGAAAAAAGCCATCCACAGGTGGCAGCTCTTGGGGTAACAAGGATGGTGGGAGTAAAGGAGGGTGGTAACTGGTAAGGGAGGTTTGTTAAGTGTCTCGTGCTTGGTTCTAATATGTAAATAAAATTCTCTATCTAATGTAGCAGAACAACACTCTTACTCTTTTATGGCTGATTTTGAGTTCTTGAGGTACCGCCAGCAAATGTGCAATTCCAGATTGGCAGAAGAAGACGACGATGACCCGAACCACCTCCCCCGTGTGCAGTAAGTTAACTTTCAGCGGAGGTGTTAGTTGATTACCATAGATATTGTGCCTTCTTCTTCTTCAAATTGTTTTGCTATCACAGATTTGACACTGCTGGGCGTTTCCATATACATTTGTAATTACCCTTCCCCTGTTAATGTTGACAGCGTGGTGTAGTAATAACTTTTAAGACATGCCACTATCAGGGTTCGTTTCCTATATTCTGGGTTTGATAGAAATTTTCGAGATCGGTGAATCATGTTTCGGTCAATTACATTACTCCGGACTCTTTGTTACCCTTACTATCATTCTTACAGTAACTTCAGTTGGGAGAGCTGTTGAATACCAAGACCTATAATAAGTAAGCCAAGCTCAAATTTGGTTGGCCAGAGTTTGAAGTGGATTTGAGTCCAGTTTGGTTTAATCCGATGTAATCCGAGTTAATTCATAGCTATATTTCTTCAACCCGAGTCTGTTTGTACGGTTTAATCGCCATTGTGAAGTCTCCAGTTCTGAAGGTGTGAAAGCAAAGACTAGTAGGAAAAATGGTGGGTAATTAGACAATGATAGATTTCTTTCTTCTACAGAAGCTTTCCATCAATCAACAATTTAACATTATACAAGGAGAAAAATAGTAAACTGTTTGGCCCATTTCTACCCTATTAACAGGCCTCAGTTTGGGCCACCATTTTCGGCCTGTCCCGTACAAAAATTATGAGAATCGATGCAATAACAAAATAATAATAAAAATTATTTTTTTTTAATTTTTTTTTGTTTCCGGCTGCTATGTTGTACAAGAATAATAACTATACAATGATTGAAAATTTGCATACCATATTGGCCCTATTACCATTTCTTCTATCATTTGGATTGATCTGTGCTATAATATCATTCTCATCTGGATCATCGTTCGTCTTCCGTATTTGATGATAAAGTGATAAAAATGAGAATCATGATCCACCTTGCGACCGAGGAGAATAATAATTATACAATGATCGTTGATGTACATGCCAAATTGGCACATTCGCTATGGTGTCAAACTTTAAGTTGACATTTCATAATGGATAGATACGGTTCCAACTTCCAAATTTAATGTCATAAATGAAAATGACATTTGAAGACATTTTCTTGTTCAGTTTGTCGCCATAACTTTTTTGCATGTAATTATAATGACATTTGTAAGAATATAATTAATACTAGATTCTCTCTATGCACTATCTTTCTTCATTCACAATCATTAGCTCTCGAAGCAAAGTCTCGTCTATCCTTCCGGAATGTATGAATTAGAAGACCCTCCCTGGAGTTACGAAGGATTATCGAAGAAGACATATTGGGAGTCAGCTTCCCTAGACAAGTGATTCTGAGAAGCCCCTGATGGCAGGAGAGTTTTATGTCCTCGTGTCATTGCCGGTATGGCTTTCTAGCAGCTTTTGTTGTCCCTGTTCGACCTCTAGAAGCGGCACGGCCAGTTGGCCTTAAGCTCCTGAGTCTTTGATGTATTCTCGTTGTTCAAACCCTCGTTTCAATAGAAAAAAAGTAATTGCTTTGTTACCTTAATGTGTGTTGATTTTCCTATATAAAGCACTATGAAATTAAGTATTTTCTCCATCCTGTTTTCTTCTTTACATCCTTCTCCGAAGCTTAGCCATTTCCTCCCAAACCAATTATTCCATATGGCTTTCTTCGGTGCATTGAACTAGATATCATTCAATTCAACTCCCGAATGTATCTCCCCAAACCAAGATTCGATCGATTCTTGTAATGATAGCCCACTCCTTAGCCTCGAACTTGCTTGATCGAATATTCACACGAAAATTCCTCTCGGAGAGAAAAAGCATTCATGCACTTTTATGTCAGGTCAGTTCAGTGTCAACAAATTCATCACAAAGGCCAAGGAAATGTATGTTACAATTTACAACATACAAATTCGGAGCACGCAATCACATGAATATGCCGTATACGCTAAAACAAAGTTATCTTTCTGAAAGCTGTTAGGCCCATTGCTACCCTATTAACAGGCCTCAGTTTGGGCACCATAGTCGGCATGTCTTATGTACAAAAATCATGGGAATCGATCCATTAACAAAATAATAATAAAAATCATTTTTTTAAACTTTTGTTTCCAGCTGTTACGTTATACAAGAATAATACCTATACAATGGTTGAAAATGTGCATACCACATTTGCGCTATTACCGTTACTTCTATGTAGGGTTGGCAATGGGTCGGGTTGGGTACGGATAGTGGGTATCCAATCCCCGCCCGTGACGATATCCGGGTATACCGAAACTCGCCCGAAGTAGGAGCATGGATAGTAAATCCTATACCATGCCCGTACCCGAGCGGGTATCGGGTATACCCGAACGACCCATGGATACCCGCCGAGATCCCAATTGTTGTTTCTTCCCTTTTTGTTCATAAAACAATGAACAAATCATAACAAAATAAAACCAAATATGAAATACTTAATGAGAACTAACATAATAATGTGTCTTTCACACAAATAAAAGACCTATCCCAAAGCCACAGCTTGGAGGGGATTAGCCTGTCTAATTTACCTTTTCCTGGTATGGTTAATGAGGATCAAAATTTGGGATTGATTGCACCGGTCACACCGGAAGAGATTAGGAAGGTGGTCTTTAGTATGGGAAAAACTCAAGCACCCGGACCGGATGGTTTCACTGCTGGCTTCTTTCAAGCATACTGCGACATAGTTGGTCCCGATATCATCCGAGAAGTACTTGCTTTCTTTCATTCTGGGCACCTCCTAAGAAGCTTCAATCGTGCGTGGATATCCCTTGTACCTAAAGTAGCAGAGGTGCGAACCATGAAGCACCTACGTCCTATTAGCTTGTGCCAAGTCTTTTACAAACTAATCTAAAAAATCCTGGCTAATAGGCTTAGTCTGGTTTTGCCCCGACTAATCTCTGGGTCCCAAAACAAGTTCATCAGGGGGCGTCAGATTACTGATAATATCTTGGTCAGTCATGAAATCACTCATCACCTGAAAACCATACATGCAGGTCAAGATGTGGATGGCCCTAAAATTGGATATGGAGAAAGCATATGACCGCATAGATGGCCTTTTATGTTTGAAATGATGAAGGAATTAGGGTTTCACCCCAAATTTATAGCCTGGATTAAGGAATGTGTTACTACGGTCTCATATTCTATAACCATTAACGGTAAACCAACCGAGTACTTCCGACCTTCTAGAGGAATCAGACAGGGGATCCTCTCTCCCCTCTGCTTTTTGCTATATGCTCAGAAGGATTCTCTGGCTTGTTGAGTCAGGCCGTGTCTATGTGCTTCTTGGAAGGAGTGCGAATCCGACCTTCATGCCCGATGGTTTCCCATCTTTTCTTTGCACATGACTCCTTTTTGTTCCTCGAAGCCTCATCTTCTTCATGTACAACTCTGCTTTCCCTTCTGCAAGTGTATGAAGGGCTCAGTGGACAAAGGGTCAATCTGGCCAAATCTGCAGTAATGTTCAGTCGGAATACCCTTCCGGATGCTGCACAATCAATGGGAACACAACTGGGGGTTGGTAGTATCGGAGAGCAAGATTCATACCTTGGGTTACCTTCCGTCTTAGGAAGGTCTAAGAGAGATGCTTTTCTATTCATTGAGGAGAAGTTCCGCCAGAAACTTGATGCTTGGAAGCAAAGGGCTCTATCCAAAGCAGCCAAGGATACGCTTATAAGAACATCTGCAACTAACTTGCCTGTCCATGGTATGTCATGTTTTAAATTTCCTAAAGAAACCTGTCGTCGGTTGAACAGACAAGTAGCCAGGTTTTGGTGGGGCTCCTCTACAAATTATGAACACCCTATTCATTGGGTCTCATGGAGGGGAATAGCTCAAAGTAAATTCCATGGCGGTTTGGGATTTAGGGACTTTCAGGCGTTTAATCAAGCGCTCTTGGCAAAACAATGCTGCCGTATCTGGACTAATCCAGAATATCTGTTAGGCCAGATCTATAAAGGCCACAACTTTAGCTCTTCATCCATTCTAGAGGCTCGGGTGGGGTCCAACCCATCATGGGGATGGCGAAGTCTACTTTATGGGCGAGAGCTTCTCCTTCAAGGATTACGTTGGCAAGTAGGAGATGGCCATGATATCAACGCTTTCTATGACCTATGGATCCTAGCTCTAAAGCCAGAAAGCCCTATAATTAGGTTGAGTAACATTAACTCTGCTCCACAAGTGTCCTTTTTAATAAGAGAGGGTATAGGGGAATGGCATGTGCCGCGCCTCCACTATTGTTTTGATGCCCAATCAGTTGACCTTATTCGTAAGATGGCTCTTCCGCGGAATGCTCAACCAGATACGAGAGTATGGCACTTCACAAAAAATGGTAAATATTCAGTCAAGACAGGATATCACTTGGCTTTAGAAGTTATATTGATTCCAAATAGAAAATCATTGGCTCATATTATTGATACTCCCATTTGGAAAAAGACGTGGGTCATCGAGACTCCTCCAAAACTCAGATTCTTCATCTGGCAATGTCTCAAAGTGGTCCTCCCTACAATAGTGGCTCTCAAATCCCGCGGGGTTAACTGTCTAAGTCGTTGCCCTGTTTGTTGGAGGTTCCAAGAAAGTATAGAACATTTGTTTTTTCGTTGCCCCCTTGCCATCCAACTTTGGTATTTTGTGGGATTAAGTGATTTACCGAATTCGGCCTCAAGAAGAAATTTTAGTTTGTGGTGGCGTCAAATTATGCTAGATGAGCAGTCCCAAACCCATATTCTCCAGATAGTGTGCCTCCTATGGAGAATAGGGAAATCAAGAAATAAAGTGGTATTTGAAAATACCCAGCCTCATGTCCGTTCGTTAGCCCGCCAATTCTCTTTCCAAATCCGCGAGGTTCTCTCTGCCCAGCCTGACTCGTCTCCCCTTCCTCGTGCTCCTGCCTCTGCTAGACCTCTTCTTTGGGATTGCTCGCCTCAAGACTTTTTGAAGATTAACTTTGATGCGGCTCTCCAAAGTGCTGGCTTCTCGTCTGGCCTGGTTTTCCGAGGCTCGGATGGGCATGTGCTTCTTGCCGTGGGTGCTCAGCATTATTGTATCTCGGATCCTTGTCTTGCAGAACTCCTTGCAGCCAGGGATGCAATCTCTCTTGCAACTTCTAGAAGTTTGTCTCCGGTTATCATCGAAGGCGATGCAGAAGTGGTCATCCGTCAGCTCAAGCTTCGATTGGTGGCCCCATTCTTCGAGATTGTTGTTATCTTCTTGAGTCTTGTTCTCTTTGTATAGAATTTAGGGCAGTTCCGCGGACTGTCAACTGGACTGCTCATAGAGTGGCACGTAAAGCCCTGCTGCTGTCCCGGCTAGAGTTAGTTTCTTTTGACTTTGTTGGTTGGCTTGTAAATGGGATGGGAAGGGATTGTGGGTAGTGGTTCTTTCTAACTATGTTCATGACATTTCTCGGGCAAAAAAAAAAAAAAAAAAAAATTCCAAATCAAAAGGCTACATGTAAACCAAGTTCAAAGTGTACAATAAGAAAATCCCAGATTTCAACCAGTTTTCCAGCAAAAATAGTTCAGCAGCAAAATTCCAGAAAAATTCCAGCGTACTCCAGCAACATTCCAGCAAACTCCACCAAACTCCAGCATCAAAATTCCAGCAGAGAAGAAGATTTTCAGCAGCAATAGTCCAACAGCAACCCTCCAATAAATCCCAACAAAATTCCAGACAGATTCCAGTTGATTCCAAAAAATTCCAGCAACAATATACCCTACAAACAAGCAGATTTCCAGCAAAAAAAAACTTCAGCAACAAAATTCCAGAAACATTCCAGCAAACTCCAGACAGATTCCAGCATATCTCAGAAAATTCCAGTAACAATATACTCAGCAAAAAGCAGATTTCCAGCAAAAGTACTTCAATAGCTATTTCCAGAAACATTCCAGCAGCAAAACTCCAGCAGACTCTCAACACCAGAAACCATCATTCATTAATCTTCTATCAATTTATAAGGTGCATTTTCATTCCTCAAAGCTTGATCTTCATGGATAAACAAGAAAGAAGATACATGAGCATTTTCAATTGTCATATATACTATACTATTAACATTATGACATATTACTAACCGTCAATGTCATCTTCATGATCTTCATCATCGAGCAATGCACAAATCTCTACCAAAATTCCGAATTAAGCTAATAATTAATACAAGTGAATGAAGAGAAGTTATATAAAGATAACTAATAGATTAGTAAAACACTATTGAATAAGACATATACCTATTGAAATTGAATTTTGCAGCCAACTTTTAGTACACATTAATGCCTCCATAGTGGTGTAGCCAAGTTTGCAACGATTAGGATTCAACACTCGACCACCGTTGCTAAAAGCCGATTCAGATGCAACAGAGGTAACAGGGACAACAAGCATATCCCTCGCAATATCTTGCAAAATTGGATACTTGGCCCCATTCATCTTCCACCATAACAAGATGTCGAAGTCAGTAGTCCAAGGTAAGACTTCCTCATTCAAATAATTGTCCAAATCAGTTTGAGTTAGTGTTCCTCTTGACTTTTTTCTTTGCTGTACAAATAGTTGAAAGTCGAGATCCACAGAGGAAGAACTACCAAGTGAGTGATCACTTGAACCACCAGAAGCAACCATGACATTCTTATTCTGTTTAGCCTGATATTCCATGATTAAATCACTCAAAACAGCCCTGACTTTGTCCACATCCAAGACACACTGCCCCTTATCAAACTTCCGAGCATAATAATCCACAATATGAAGCTTGTATCTCGGGTCCAACACAACAGCCACAACTAGTATTTCATGAATATCACCCCAATATTTTAAGAACTTATCCCACATCAATTCAGCCATCTTGGAAATCATATCATTATCATCAACAAGCCACTCACAAAGTTTGAGCTTCAAATCACATATCTTTGGAAAGAATAGATTGGCGGTGGGATACTTGGTACCAGAGAACAAATTAGAGATCTCACTGAAAATTTCCAACTTCCCACAAACAATCGATGCAAATGCCCAATGATCACTAGTAGGCAAACAAGTATAGTGAGAGTTACGTTGCTTCAGCCTAATAAACACGTTTTGGTACAGTATGGCAGCAACAAGCATAAGATAAGTTGAATTCCAGCGAGTTGGACAATCCAAACTCAGCTTTTTATCACAAGAAAATCCCAATTGCTTTGCTGCCCCCTCAAATAACTCTACCCTCCTAGGTGTAGCATTCCAATAAGATACACTTTCACGAATTGTTTCAATACCATCTCGAAGCTAATCCAACCCATCTTTAACTATCAAGTTGAGAATATGTGTAGAACACCTCATATGTAGTAAAACACCCCCCTTAATCAAACAAGGCATCACCAATTTGTTCTTAACCTTCTCAATCATGGAATCATTAGTGCTACAGTTATCCAAGGTTATAGTTGATACCTTGGAATTGACATTCCAGTCCATCATATTGTCAAACAAAGCAGTGGCCAGCCTATCACTTGTGTGAGGAGTAGGAACATATGCGAACCTACAAAAAAACAGCATTTGCAAAATGTTAAGATAGTGACTCCTTACAAAATAAACAAGATAGAATTCAAATTATATACTAAATAACATACCTAAGCAAGTGACTTCGAAGAATCCACGAATTGTCCACATAATGGGCCGTAACAGCCATGTAACCCTTTTTCTGGTTGCTTGCCGTCCACATATCAGGTGTAATGGCAACCCTCCCTTTGTTACTACCAACCAATTTCATGATCCTACTCTTCTCACTATTATATATCTTAAAAATGTCACTTCTAAGAGTATTCCTAGTAGGAACACTAAACAAGGGCTGGAGGCCAAATAAGAATCTCCTAAAGTACAAATGATCCACCATAGAGAGGGAATAATCATGCATAAGAATGGCCATAACAAGATCTTGCCTCGAAACAACTTCATTAAATTGAGTAGCAACCATTTCTTTCTTTCCCTTAGTGACAAAGTTATTACCAAGTACCTTTTGCTTCCCATCTTGAATCTTTCTTTGAATACAAGTCTTGAGATGATTTCTCAAGTGAGAGGTACCGTTATTAGATTCACCAGCAAGCAACTTCTTGCAATGACCACATTTAGCTTTGATGAATTCTCCCTTTCTTATCTTTGTAAAGTGCTGCCACACATCACTCTTGAGATTTCCCAAATCAATAACCTCTTCATCATCAACAACAGGTGCGGGTTGTGGATTTTGTGCTTTTGGATTAGTACCGGTAGCCTCCTGATTTTGTTGCTCTGGATTAGTACCAGCAGCCTGCTGATTTTGTAGTTCAGGATTAGAAGCAACCACATCCTCTTGGCCCATTTTTCACCTGCAAATGAATACAAAAGTTGTAAATAGTAGTTACTTACATAAAGTTCAGTAAAATTAAACATATCAGCAACATTCTCAAAATGACTTCTTTATATAAAGCTACTTGATCTATGAAAATGATATCAAATAATAATCCTACATAAAGCTTTCAAGTTGCTTCATCCTGCCTTTGCTTTTAACAACAACAACATTATAATTCAACAAAAGAATGCAAATATTTGATTATTTTTTAAGTAACAACAGGAAACTCTGCACACGCAGATACTAATGGGGGAAGAGAAAAGGAGACAAGAGAAGGAGAAAGTACACTAATGCGCTCAAGTCTGCTAGGCCATCAATAAAGTTGTAGAGATCTGCAATGTCATAACTAAGGTTTCTCAAAGCTGGATTGATTTCCTTAAACCCAAACTGAAAAATCAAAAAGCCCCCTGCACTATTGAAAAGGACGCAAATATACCTTTGTGCCGATGTGCTACTGCCGCTGCCGAAGTACGCAACAACTGCTCCAACCTGCAAGAAAAATCCAGAAAACACAGTTAGATGAAGAAGATTATAATTAGGAAGGATTGCGTCACTTTCACAGTGGGCAATGGCCTCGTCAATGAACCCAGAATTTGGAACCCAGAAATTGAAATCGAAAACGAAGAGCACAATTGCAGGAAGAGGAAGAAATTAAAAATCTAACCTCTGTAAGATTGTAACAGAAGTTCTCTTCTCTCTTGGCTCTTGCTGCAGGATATGGTATTGTTGTTGGCTGCCGCTCTAGTTGCCAACGTGATGCGACTGGAAAGTGGAAACCTTCTTGAGCAGAATTCATTTAACGAAGAAGAAAGAGACGAGGGAGGATTGGGCATTGAATGGTTGGCTCGGCTCTGCCTCTGAGAACATTGAAGATGAAGAGTCGAGTTGGGAGAATCGAGAGGAATGATCATGGCTGGGAATTTCAGTCGCACGCGGAGTTGGTGATTGGGGCAAACTGATGAGTGAATTAGTGATGGCCGATGGGAAATTGGGAATAAGGATTTGTGTGGACTGTGGACAGGGGTAAGGCTTAAGGGAATAGCAAGGGTCATTAGTAATATCGGGCAGGTTTGGGTCGGATATCATAATATCCATGCCCAACCCATGCCCGAGAATGGAACTTTCGGGTTTTGCCCGAACCCGACCCAAACCCAGTCAACTCGAGTTTTCCCCGCGTTGACCGGATCGGATTCGGGTGGATACCCGGTCCGGCGATTTTAATTGCCATCCCTACTTCTATGATTTGGATTGATCTGTGGAATAATTTCATGCTCATTTTGATCCTCATTCATTTTTCGCATTTGATGATAAAACGATAAAAATGCGAATCATGATCCACCTCGCGACAGAGGAAAATAGTAACTATACATTGATTGTTAATGTTTATGTCACATTGACATATTCACTATGGTATCAAACTTTAAGTTGACATTTCATATGGATAGGTACGGTTCAACTTCCAAATTTAATGTCATAAATGACATTTGAAGGCGTTTTCTTGTTCAGTTTGTCGCCATAACTTTGCGTGGAATTATGTTGCCATTTGTAAGAAAATAATTGTGATTAGATTCTATGCATGTACTATCTTTATTCATTCACAATCATTAGTTCTCCAAGCAAAGTCTCGTCTATCCCTTTGGAATGTAAGAATTAGTAGACCCTCCCCCGGAGTTACACAAGATTATCGAAGACGACATCTTGGGAGTCGGCTTACCTAGACAGGTGATTTAGAAAAGCCCCTGATGGTAGGAGAGTTTTATGTCCTTCTCCTGTCATTGCCGGCATGGCTTTCTAGCAGACTTTGTTGTCCCTGTTCGACCTCTGGAAGCGACACAACCAATTGTCCTTAATCTCCTGAGTCTTTGATGTATTCTTATTGTTCAAACCCCCCTTTCAATAAAAAAAATTGCTTTGTTACCTTAATGCTTGTCGATTTTCCAATATTAAGCACTATGAAATTAAGTATTTTCTCCATCCAGTTTTTCTTCTTTACATCCTTCTCCAAAAGGTTAGCCATTTCCTACCTAACCAATCCTTCGATATGGTTTTCTTTGGTGCATTGAAGTCGATATCATTCAATTAATCTCCAGAAGGTATCCACCCAAACCAAGATTCGATAGATTCTTGTAACGATGGCAGACTCTTCATCCTCGAAATTGCTTTTTTGAGTATACCCACGACAATTCCACTCCGCGAGAAAGAGCATTAGAGCACTTTTATATTTGGTCAGTTCGGTGTCAACAAATTCATCACAAAGGCCAAAAAATGTATGTTACAACATACAAATTCGGAGCATGCAATCACATGAATATGCCCGTACGCTGAAACAAAATTCTCTTTCTGAAAGAAGTTAGGCCCACTGCTACCCTATCAACGGGCCTCAGTTTGGGCCGCCATTTTCGGCTTGTCCCATGTACAAGAATAATGAGAATAGATCCAATAACAAAATAATATTAATAAATATTTTTTTTACTTTTGTTTACAACTGTTATATTATACAAGAATAATACCTATGCAATGGTTGAAAATGTGCATACCACATTGACCCTATTACCGTTACTTCTATGATTTGGAGAAAAATAACTATAGAATGGTTGTTAATGTACATGCCACATTGGCACATTCACTATGGTATCAAACTTTAAGTTTGACATTTCATAGTGGATAGATACGGTTCCAACTTCCAAATTTAATGTCATAAATGACATTTGAAGGCGTTTTCTTGTTCAGTTTGTCGCAATAACTTTTTTACATGGAATTATATTGCCATTTGTAAGAAAATAATTATGATCAGATTTTCTCCATGTACTATATTTCTTCATTCACAATCATTAGCTCCGAAGTATAATCTCGTTTATCAATTCGAAATGTATCAATTAGAAGACCTTCCCCCGGATTTACAAATGATTATCGAAGACGACATCTTGGGAGTCACCTTCCCTAGACAGGTAGTTCAGAGAAGTCCCTGATGGCAGGAGAGTTTTATGTCCTTCTTGTGTCATTGCCGATACGTCTTTCTAACAGACTTTCTTATCCCTATTCGATCTCTGGAAGTGACACGACCAGTTGGCCTTAAGCTCCTAAGTTTTTTTAATGTATTTTGGTTGTTCAAACCCCCCCCCCCCTTTCAATAAAAAAGTAATTGCTTTATTACATTGATGTTTGACGATTTTCCTATATAAAGCACTATAAAATTATGTATTTTGTGCATCCCGTTTTACTTCTTTACATCTTTCTCCCAAAGCTTTGCCATTTCCTCCCAAAATAATCTTCGATATGGTTTTCTTTGGTGCATTTAACTCGATATCATTCAATACAACTCCCGAATGTCTCACCCCAAACAAATATTCAATTGATTCTTGTAACGATGGCTACTACTCAGCCTCGAACTTGCTTGTTTGAATATTCTCTTGACATTCCACTAGGCGAGAAAGATCATTCGAGCACTTTTATATCTGGTAAGTTCAATTTCAACAAATTCATCAACAAGGCCAAGAAAACGTATGTTACAACATAGAAATTTGGAGCACGCAATCATATGAATATGCCACGTACGGTGAAACGAAATTCTCTTTCTGAAAGCAGTTTGGCCCATTTCTACCCTATCAATAGGCCTCAGTTTGGGCCACCATCTTTGGCCTGTCCCATGTACAAAAATCATGGGAATAGATCCAATAACAAAATAATAATAAATAAATCAAATTTTTTAAATTTTGTTTCCAGCTGTTATGTTATACAAGCATAATACCTATACAATGGTAGAAAATGTGCATACCACATTGACCCTATTACCGTTACTTCTATGATTTGGATTGATCTGTGCAATAATTTCATGATAATTTTGATCATCGATTGTGTTCCGCATTTGATGTAAATCAATAAAAATGCTAATGATCCACCTCGCGACGGAGGAAAATAATGACTATAGAATAATTGTTAATGTACATGCCACATTCGCACATTCCCTATGGTATCGAACTTTAAGTTTAATATATTTCATGGTGGATAGATACGGTTCCAACTTCCAAATTTAATGTCATAAATGACATTTGAAAGCGTTTTCTAGTTCAGTTTGTCGCCATAACTTTTTTACAGGGAATAATATTGCCATTTGTAAGAAAATAATTATGACCAAATTCTCTCCATGTACTATCTTTCTTCATTCACAATCATTAGCTCCGAAGTATAATCTAGTCTATCACTTCAAAATGGATGAATTAGATCATTCGAGCACTTTTACAACATACAAATTCGGAGCACGCAATCACATGAATATGCCTCGTACGGTGAATTGAAATTTTCTTTCTGAAAGAAGTTAGGCCCACTTCTACCCTATCAACGGTCCTCAGCTTGGGCCACCATCTTTGGCCTGTCGCATGTACAAAAATTATGAGAATAGATCCAATAAAATAATAATAATAGATAAATCAATTTTTTAAATTTTGTTTCCAGCTGTTATGTTATACTAGCATGATACCTATATAATGGTTGAAAATGTGCATACAACATTGACCCTATTACCTCGCGACCGAGGAGAATAATGACTATAGAATGGTTGTTAATGTACATGCCACATTGGCACATTCGCTATGGTATCAAACTTTAAGTTTGACATTTCATAGTGGATTGGTACGGTTCCAACATCTAAATTTAATGTCATAAATGACATTTGAAGGCGTTTTCTTTCTCAGTTTGTCGCCATATCCGTTTTACATGGAATTAAGTTGCCATTTGTAAGAAAATAATTATGACCAGATACTCTCCATGTACTATATTTCTTCAATCACAATCATTATCTCCGAAGTATAATCTCGTTTATCACTTCGAAATGTATGAATTAGAAGACCTTCCCCCGGATTTCCACAGGATTATCGAAGACGACATCTTGGGAGTCACCTTCCTTAGACAGCTGATTCAGAGAAGCCCCTGATGGCAGGAGAGTTTTATGTCCTTCTTGTGTCATTGCCGGTATCTCTTTCTAACAGACTTTCTTATCCCTATTCGATCTCTGGAAGTGACACGACTAGTTTGCCTTAAGCTCCTGAGTTTTTTTTATGTATTCTGGCTGTTCAAACCCCCCTTTCAATAAAAAAGTAATTGCTTTGTTACATTGATGTTTGACGATTTTCCTATATAAAGCACTATAAAATTATGAATTTTCTCCATCCCGTTTTACTTCTTTACATCTTTCTCCAAAAGCTTTGCCATTTCCTCCCAAAATAATCCTTCGATATGGTTCTCTTTGGTGCATTTAACTCGATATCATTCAATTCAACTCCCGAAGGTATACCCGAAACAAAGATTCAATTGATTCTTGTAACGATGGCTACTATTCAGCCTCGAACTTGCTTGTTTGAATATTCCCTTGACATTCCATTAGGCGAGAAAGATCATTCGAGCAATTTTATATCTGGTCAGTTCGGTGTTAACAAATTCATTAACAAGGCCAAGAAAACGTATGTTACAACATACAAATTCAGAGCACGTAATCACATGAATATGCCTCGTACGGTGAAACGAAATTCTCTTTCTGAAAGCAGTTAGGCCCACTTCTACCCTATCAACGGGCCTCAGTTTAGACCACCATCTTTGGTCTGTCCCATGTACAAAAATCATGGGAATAGATCCAATAAAATAATAATAATAATAAATAAATCAATTTTTTTAAATTTTGTTTCCAGCTGTTATGTTATACAAGCATAATACTTATACAATGGTAGAAAATGTGCATACTACATTGACCCTATTACCATTACTTCTATGATTTGGATTGATCTGTGCAATAGTTTCATGATAATTTTGATCATCGATTGTATTCCGCATTTGATGTAAATCAATATAAATGCTAACGATCCACCTTGCTACCGAGGAAAATAATGACTATAGAATGATTGTTAATGTACATGCCACATTGGCACATTCACTATGGTATTGAACTTTAAGTCTGACATTTCATAGTGGATAGATACGGTTCCAACTTCCAAATTTAATGTCATAAATGACATTTGAAAGCGTTTTCTAGTTCAGTTTGTCGCCATAACTTTTTCACATAGAATAATATTGCCATTTGTAAGAAAATAATTATGACCAGATTCTTTCCATGTACTATCTTTCTTCATTCACAATCATTAGCTTCGAAGTATAATCTAGTCTATCACTTCAAAATGGATGAACTAGAAGACCTTTCCCCAGATTTACACAGGATTATCGAAGAAAACCTCTTGGGAGTCACCTTCCCTAAACATGTGATTCAGAGGAGCCTCTGATGGTAGGAGAGTTTTATGTCCTTCTCGTACCATTGCCGGTATGACTTTCTCGCAGACTTTGTTGTCCCTATTCGACCTCCGGAAGCGATACGGCCAGTTGGACTTAAGCTCCTTAGTCTTTGATGTATTCTGGTTGTTCAAACCCCCCTTACAATAGAAAAAAGTAATTGCTTTGTTACCTTGATGTTTCACGATTTTCCTATATAAAGTACTATGAAATTATGTATTTTCTCCATCCCGTTTTACTTCTTTACATCCTTCCCCAAAAGCTTAGGAATTTCCTCCCAAAACGATTCTTCGATATGGTTTACTTTGGTGCAATTAACTCGATATCATTCCATCCAACTTCCGAAGGAATCACCCCAAACAAAGATTCGATTGATTCTTGTAACAATAGCCCACAACTCAGCTTTAGACTTGCTTGTTTGGATATTCCCTTGACATTCCACTAGGCAAAAAAAGATCACTCGAGCACTTTTATATCTGGTTAGTTCGGTGTCAACAAATTCATCACAAAGGCCAAGAAAACGTATGTTACAACATACAAATTCGGAGCACGCAATCACATGAATATCCCCCGTACGGTGAAACGAAATTCTCTTTCTGAAAGCAGTTAGACCCACTTCTACCCTATCAACGGGCCTGAGTTTAGGCCACCATCTTTGGCATTTCCCATGTACAAAAATCATGGGAATAGATCCAATAAAATAATAATAATAAATAAATAAATCATTTTTTTAAATTTTGTTTCCAGCTGTTTTTTTATACTAGCATAATACCAATACAATGGTTGAAAATGTGCATACCACACTGACCCTATTACCGTTACTTCTATGATTTGGATTGATCTGTGCCATAATTTCACAATCAGTTTGATCATCGTTCGTCTTCTGCATTTGATGGTATAACGATAAAAATGTGAATCACGATCCTTCTCACGATCGAGGAAAATAATTACTATAGAATGATTGTTAATGTACATGCCACATTGGCACATTCACTATGGTATCAAACTTTAAGTTTGACATTTCATAGTAGATAGATACGGTTCCAACTTCAAAATTTAATGTCATAAATGACATTTGAAGGGTTTTTTTTGTTCAGTTTGTTACCACAACATTTTTAAATAGAATTATATTGCCATTTGTAAGAAAATAATTATGACCAGATTCTCTCCATGTACTATCTTCTTCATTCACAATCATTATCTCCGATGTATAATCTCGTCTATCACTTCATAATGAATGAATTTGAAGACCTTTCCCCCAGATTTACAAAGGATCATCGAAGACGACATCTTGGGAGTCACCTTCCCTAGACAGGTGATTTAGAGAAGCCTCTAATGGCAATAGAGTTTTATGTCCTTCTCGTGTCATTGTCGGTATGGCTTTCTAGCAGACTTTGTTGTCCCTATTCGACCTCTGGAAGTGAGACGGCCAGTTGGCCTTGAGCTTCTCTGTCTTTGATGTATTCTGGTTGTTCAAACCCCCTTCTCAATAAATAAATAAAAGTAATTGCTTTGTTACCTTGAGGTTTGTTGATTTTCCTATATAAAGCACTATGAAATTATGTATTTCCTCCATCCCATTTTACTTCTGTACATCTTTCTCGAAAAGCTTTGCCATTTCCTCCCAAAAATCATGGGAATAGATCCAATAAAATAATAATAATAAATAAATCAATTTTTTTAAATTTTGTTTCCAGCTGTTATGTTATACTAGCATAATATTTATACAATGGTTGAAAATGTGCATACCATATTGACCCTATTACCGTTACTTCAATCATTTGGATTGATCTGTGCCATAAAATCTTGATCATTTTGATCATCGTTTGTCTTCCGCATTTGATGGTAAAACGATAAAAATGCGAATAACTATCCACCTCGCGACCGAGAAAAATAATGACTATAGAATGATTGATAATGTACATGCCACATTGGCACATTCACTATGGTATCAAACTTTAAGTTTAACATTTCTTAGTGGATAGATACTGTTCAACTTCCAAATTAATGTCATAAATGACATTTGAAAGCGTTTTCTTGTTTAGTTTGTCGTCATAACTTTTTTACATGGAATTATATTGCCATTTGTAAGAAAATAATTATGACCAGATTCTCTCCATGTACTATCTTTCTTCATTCACAATCTTTAGCATCGAAGTATAATCTCGTCTATCACTTCAAAATGTATGAATTAGAAGACATTTCCCATGATTTACACAGGATTATCGAAAACAACCTCTTGGGAGTCACCTTCTTTAAACATGTGATTCAGAGGAGCCCCTGATGGCAAGAGAGTTTTATGTCCTTCTTGTGTCCATGTCGGTATGGCTTTCTAGTAGATTTTGTTGTCCCTATTCGACCTTTGAAAGGGATTCGGCCAGTTGGCCTTAAGCTCTTTAGTCTTTGATGTATTCTGGTTTTTCAAACACCCCTTTCAATAGAAAAAAGTAATTGCTTTGTTACCTTGATGTTTGACTACTTTCCTATATAAAGCACTATGAAATTATGTATTTTCTCCATCCCGTTTTACTTCTTTACATCCTTCTCCGGTATCACTGTGAAAATATGGTTATCTTCGATGCATTTAACTCGATATCATTCAATTCAAATTCCGAAAGAATCACCCCAAACAAAGATTCGAATGATTATTGTAACGATGGCCCACTACTCAGCCTCGAACTTACTTGTTTGAATATCCCCTTGACATTCCCCTAGGCGAAAAAGATCATTCGAGCACTTTTATATCTAATCAGTTCGGTGTTAAAAAATTCATCACAAAGTCCAAGAAAACGTATATACAACCTATAAATTCGGAGCATACAATCATATGAATACGCCTCGTACGCTGAAACTAAATTCTATTTCAGAAAGAAGTTAGGCTCACTTCTGCCCTACCACCGGGCCTTAGTTTGGGCCACCATTTTGGGCATGTCCCATGTACAAGAATCATGGGAATAGATCCAATAACAAAATAGTAAAAATAATCAATTTTTTTTAACTTTTGTTTCTAGCTGTTATGTTATACAAGTATAATACCTATACAATGGTTGAAAATGTGTATACCACATTGACCCTATTACTGTTACTTCTATGATTTGGATTGATTTGTCCAATAATTTCACGATCATTTTGATCATCGTTCGTCTTCCGCATTTTGATGGTAAAACGATAAAAATGCGAATCGCGATCCACCTCGCGACCGAGGAGAATAATGACTATAGAATGATTGTTAATGTACATGCCACATTGGCACATTCACTATGGTATCAAACTTTAAGTTTGACATTTCATAGTGGACAGATACGGTTCCAACTTCCAAATTTAATGTCATAAATGACATTTGAAGGCGTTTTCTTGTTCAGTTTTTCGCATAACTTTTTTACATGGAATTATATTGCCATTTGTAAGAAAATAATTATGACCAGATTCTCTCCATGTATTATATTTCTTCATTCACAATCATTAGCTCCGATGTATAATCTCGTTTATCACTTCGAAATGAATGAATTAAAAGACCTTCCCCCGGATTTAGAAATGATTATCGAAGACGACATCTTGGGAGGCACCTTCCCTAGACAGGTGATTCAGAGAAGCCCCTGATGGCAGGAGAGTTTTATGTCCTTCTTGTGTCATTGCTGGTACGTCTTTCTAACAGACTTTCTTATCCCTATTCGATCTCTGGAAGTGACACGGCCAGTTGTCCTTAAGCTCCTAAGTTTTTTTTTAACGTATTTTGGTTGTTCAAACCCCCCTTTCAATAAAAAAAGTAATTCCTTTGTTACATTGATGTTTGACGATTTTCCTATATTAAGCACTATAAAATTATGTATTTTCTCCATCCCGTTTTACTTCTTTACATCTTTCTCCAAAAGCTTAGCCATTTCCTCCCAAAATAATCCTTCGATATGGTTTTCTTTGGTGCATTTAACTCGATATCATTCAATTCAATTCCCGAAGGTAACAAAGATTCAATTGATTCTTGTAACGATGGCTACTACTCAGCCTCGAACTTGCTTGTTTGAATATTCTCTTGACATTCCACTAGGCGAGAAAGATCATTCGAGCACTTTTATATCTGGTCAGTTCAATTTCAACAAATTCA